CCATCTCCTGCAACCTCACATTTAGCCATTAGTCTACTTGGGGGAGAAAATAACCATCACCACTTAGCATCAATGCTTAGGACATCCCCAATTTCGAATTTTGAACAAACTGATCAATGAACATGGTCTTCCTTTTTTTTGTCTTCCTAAAAACAACTTTTGTCATGCTTGTAATGTTTCAAAGTCTCACAAACTTCATTTCCAAAATTCTTCTCTAATCACCACTAAACCCCTTGAATTAATTCATTCGGATCTATGAGGTCCATCACTAGTTGCCTCATATTTGAATTGTTTATATTACGTGATATTTGTTGATGATTATAATAAATTTATATGGTTATATCCTCTTAAAAATAAGAGTGATGTCTGTCAAGCCTTTCAAGATTTTCAAGCTAAGGTTGAATGATTATTTTCTTTAAATTATTATTTTTTTCAATCTGATTGGGTTGGTGAGTTTCAGGTGTTGACCAAACTTTTTAAGGAGCAAGGGATTCATCATAGGATATCTTGCCTACATACTCATTAGCAAAATAGTACTACTAAGAGAAAACATAGATACTTTATAGAAATTCCCTTATCTCTTCTAAAATAAGCTTCCATTCTCATGAATTTTAGGATGAAGCAGTATGTACTGTCACTTACCTCATAAATCGCATGCCTACACCTATCTTAAAATTTAAAAGTTATTTTGAAGTTTTATACAAAATCAACCTGGAATATCTCTTCTTTAGAACCTTTGGATGCCTATGCTACCCCTACATTAGACCTTATGCCCTACACAAGCTAGATGATAGATCTAAAGCTTATATTTTTTTTAGGCTATAGCTCCCAACACCATGGCTATCGATGTAAATCTTTACAATCAGGCAGAATTTATATATCCCGACATGTCATCTTCTATGAAGAGTCTTCTCACATTCCATCACAACTCACACTCTCACAACATCTTCCACAATTGACAAAGACATTCTCGGATCACATCCAATATATACATCAATTCCAACCCAAACTTGCAACCAATATTCAATCCCTATTCTCATTCTTATTAGGTCAATGCTTATTTCAGAACCTATCACTAATAAAAATTCAGTCATACCACATCCCATCTCAGAAGCCTCATCAATACAATCCTCGAAAAATGTCTCCTTACTAGACCCTACCTCATCTTCACCCATCACCTTGCACAATTCATCACCATTGATTGAGTCACCGTTCCAAATACTAGTAAACCAAAACTCTCAAACAGTTTCTTCCACTCCACCTATAAAATTTAAAAGGATTAGTACCATTTATAGTGACATTACCATCATCCCTATGACTTCCTCCGATTTAGTAACGTTATTTACAAAACACCCTCTTCTTCAATGCTATCAACTTACATTGTCCATAAAGAACTCAATAGTTTCACCTTTGCCCAGAATCATTCTAGAGACAAGCCATACACTTCGAGTATGATGTCTTAATTAATAATAACACTTGGACATTACTTTCACAACCTCTTAATACTAATATCATAGGTTGTAAATGGGTGTTTTGGCTAAAATTAAAATCCGATGGCTCTGTAGATAGATATAAAACCTAATTAGTAGCCAAATGCTACTCCTAACAAGAAAAATTTGATTATTTTGATACCTTCTCTCTTGTTATCAAAATCACAATAGTAGTAATTCTCTTCTCCATTGTCATTAGTCAAAAATGATACATCCACTAGTTGGATGTGTCAAATGCCTTCTTACATGGAGATTTGATTGAAAATATCTTCATGGTCCAATTTCAAGGTTTCCAAAATTCTCTCTTACCTCATCATGTTTGCAAATTAAATAGGTCTATTTATGGTCTTAAATAAGCCTTGAGAGCCTAGTTTTTAAAATTATCTTCCTACCTAATTAAATTAGATTTTTCTAGATTGAAAACGGATCCCTCACTTTTTTTCTTTACTTCTGAATGTCTTTTTATTCTTATATATGTTGATGATTTATTACTCATTGGACCCAACCAAAAATTCATAAATTATATTATCTTATGTCATGTCTTCATAACATTTTCACCATTAAAGATCTTGGAAAAGTAAAATATTTTCTTGATATATAAATTCTGCAATTTTCCATAGGTTTCATCTTGTCTCAATCCAAGTACTTCACCACTATTCTTCAACAAGCCCACATGGATCAATATAAGCCCCTTTCCACTCCATGGTCAACCTCAATGGCTGAACTTAAAATCAACAATGTCAAGCTTGATCCAACCTCCTATTGCAAAATCTTAGGGGGTCAACAATACCTCACCATCACTTGGGCAGACATAGTTTATGCAATCAACCTAGCCTACCAAAAGATGCACAATCTCTCTTCTAAAGATTGGCTTCATCTGAAACATCTCTTGTGATATGTAAAAGGATCCATTTACTTGGGTCTATATTTTACTTTTGTTCACCTCTACAATTTATAGCTATAGTGATGCTGATTGGGCTAGCTCCAAAGAAGATAGACGATCCACTGGTGGCTATTTAATTTACCTTAGTTGAAATATCATGTCTTGGCCTTCTAAGTACTGTCTCTTGATCTAGCAGCGAGGCAGAATACAAAGCCATAAAAAATATGGTGACGTAACTCATTTGGATTCAGTCACTCCTTAATGAGCTTCACATCACTATAACAAGTCCTCCCATTTTGTTTTGCAACAACATCAACGCCACCTACTTGTCGACAAATCCAATCTTTCATGCACACACAAAGTACATTAAAATAGATTTTTACTTTGTGCGTGAAAGGGTTGCTCTCTAACAGCTTTAGATCAACTTCTTACCTAGCACACATCAGCTTGCTAATATACTAACAAAGCCTCTTTTCAAAAATCAGTTCCATTGGCTAAGGAACAAGCTTAATGTTCTTCTGACCATTAGCTTCCGGGGGGATGTTGAAGGAAACAAATGACACATACCTACTACTATCTTTAGTAAGCAGAATCAACGATTAAGACTGACAGACTCACATAGATCCAATGGCTCTATTTGTACTATCACTTAGCTATATAATCGATTGTATGCTAGGGTTATCAAATAGAGGAAACTTCTTCTTCTTTTGTCCTTTCCTCCTCTATCACTTCTTTATTCTTTCAGTTCTTCTCCTCCGATCTTCCATCTTTCTTTCTTGAAATCTCTTGTGCTTTCCTTATTTCTGTAGAGTCTGTTGAGCCAGTCCTTTTACAGACTATGCTTCTTGGATGCGGGGATGAGTTTTCCAACAAGGGCTTTCTCTCAGGGGACGGCCGGCCATGGTTGCAATAAATCTTGCGTAATTCGGCAGACTTGGCTCAATCCCTGCTAGGGTTGGCTGTATATTAAGCTTATTTCCCCCATGAAAGGAAGAACTGGAAAGGTTCAACAAGGCTTTCTCTCTGAGTTCCATTCATGCAGTTGTACTCATTTGGATGTATGCTTTAGAGAGAGAGGGAGAGAGAGAGAGGGAGAAGAGAGAGAGAGAAGACGGTGTGATTGACGAATTATATGACCTTGATGAGCGATCATGGCGGGAACCAGAGCTGGATGGAGCATTCATGGGATAGCTGGGGGGAAGAAGGCATTATTCTTAGAGAGAGAAAACACAGGCTGAGGGAAGAGGTCGTCTCTGCAGATCATGCACACCAGGGTTGCCTAAGTAAGGCCTAGGTTTCAAATTACAAACATGGTGATCCTGCTTACCCACATTCGACATCATAAATCCTCCTTTTTTTATTCTTCTCGCTCGCTTACTCAGTAATTCTTCGTGTGGTTGTTTCGCAGCTGTCAGATCAGGATAACAGGCAAGAACATACCTCATAGAATAAGTGTATTTTGATGATTTAACTAGTATTTAATGTCCATACTTCGAGCGACGGCCATGTTAAGATTACTGCATGTGATGAAATTTTTACGCTTTTGTTCCCTGGAGAATAATCGACTAATAAGGCCTAATTTTTACAAAAATAGGAGTATATTCCACAATTATGATTATCTGTTTCTTCAAAGGCCATCATAAAGCTGGAGGATGTGCTCTTCGACATGCTAAATCAGAACCAGTCCTAAAGAATTTAGCTCGATATCCAGCGTGAATGGAGACTCTTTCATAATCCAAGGCATTTTGAGATGTGGGAAATAACCATCATCTTGGTGTCACAAGCAAGAATGAAAACCCTGGCTTCTGCCCCCTCCCATTAATGTTCATACGCCACATATCGAGATACGCCTATGAAGGGATGAGGCTTGCCCACTGGGCATTGGACTAATCCCGAGGAGGATCGAAAGAACCTTTCAAGTTTGAGCAATTAGCGGTGTCTGCTTTTCCTCTTGGTATTTTGGATCTAACATTTTGAATCTGGAGAATTGAGGCTGTTGAATTACGATTTCTCATTGATTTCTTGAATTATTGATGAACACACTTTTTTATTGTCAGCTCCTTTGGGGGATGGCTATTTAGTTAGTATTGTGATTATTTCCCTTCATACATAGTTTAGTTTAATCGTCGGTGGTCGCATTGTCATTGAATTTCCCACTCCCCCAAGCTTACAGTATTTGGTCCAAATAAGTAATGTCAACTGGTGCTACGAAACAAAATACGTTGTACAGTTCCTAAGTGGCTGACGCAGGCACGGAGACCAGCAGGAAGGAGGTCCTACACACGCCTGAGCTCCATCAATCTATGTATGGTAGCCAAGTTCGGGAAGAAGAGTAGACCCAGATTTTCAGATTTAGTCAGGGTGGTGGGTGTTTGTTGAAAACCCTAATCGCATGAGGCTGGCCCACCCGGTGGTTTGGAGAGCAAGATGACAAAATGTCGGAAAAAATCGATCTTTTAGAAATCGAGGCAAGTTTACCGTTTGCCGCTGCTGCGGCGGTGGCCACTCCGCTTCCCGACGGCCTGTCCCGTCGCCAACGGTAACTTGGATCCGGCCTACTCGAGAGGAAGAGTTTTCTGCCTCTGCGGGATTTCTATCGCCATTTGGGTCCCTTTCCCGCGGCGGAGATGGCGGCCGTCGCTCTCCTCCTCTCCTTCCTCTTGATCCGCACACCGGAGTTTGCGTTTCTTGCGCGGGCGGAGGACGCCGATCGCCCCCCCGACGCGAGGGTTCAATCAATGGCGGACGGCACGGTGGTGCCGGCGGAGCTCTGGTGCGTGGCGAAGAACAACGCCGACGACGGTCCGCTGCAGGCGGCTCTAGACTGGGCCTGCGGGCTGGGAGGAGCCGATTGCCGGCCTATCCAGCAAGGAGGCGCCTGCTTCGAGCCCAACGACATCCAGTTCCACGCCTCCTACGCCTTCAACGACTACTACCTCCGTAATGGCGTCTCCCAGCAGGCCTGCGACTTCGGCGGCACCGCGGCCCTCACCTCCCTCAACCCAAGTGAGCTCTGCCGTCGCCTCCGTTCATCCCCTCTGATTCCGCTGCCTCGCATTAACGTTAACATTTCCTTCTCCTTGTTTATTTGCTAGGCAACACGAATTGCCGGTTCTCTTCCAGGTAAACTCCTCTGCTTCCGCAATCGCCGAGTCCATCCATCTGCAATCTCCTCCGCTGAGAGAATTTCTTCTTGCAGCTCCTCGACGAAGAACGGCAGCTTCACCGGGTCGGCGGCGGGGACGGCCGCCGGGCGAGGCCCCGCCGGTGCCGATATCAGCGGCGGGAGCATTGGGGCCAGGTGGGCGCGCCCTCCGACGCTGGCTGTCCTCCTTGCGATCTCCGCCGCCATCGCCTAGGGAGGTGGTTGCGAACGCAGCAGCTCCCTCCTTGCTGATTATCATTTGATCATCGCTTCCGCAATATCAGAGAAACTGAGCTCTTCCAAGATCTACACCGATCATCCCTTATTTAGAAAATCAGACTAAGAAGCAGATGATAACATGTCACGGCGACCCATCCCGTTTTGATTCCGATCGATATTGGATTGCTCCCCATTACTTTTAGGGGTTCTTGATTTTTAAGTTCCAAGACCCCACAATTTGGTAAAGTTTCTCGAGCAGAAGACCACTGAATCTCGTTTCCGTCTCTCTCTCTCTCTCTCTCTCTCTCTCTCTCTCTCTCTCTATGCGGGCTGTTTTAACAAAGCCCGGAATGAGGTTCGCAGGGCCCTGAAAATGGTCCGGTGAGGCCCATCAAGAGCCCACCTTTATCATCAAGAGGACCGGCGACGTTGGCACCGGCCGTCAACGCGCCGGGGATAAATTCAGGGATGAACGGTAACCACCATGGTCAAATCCGCCCAACTCTTTATCGTAGGGGAAGGTCTTGGGGAAAATCAGCAGTTCGCAAGGCCTGAGGGCCCTCCTCCGGACAAGTTAGAAGCCGCCGCCGGAGAGAGAGAGAGAGAGAGAGAGATGGACAGAGACGGAGGGATTCACAAGCTGGTGAACAGAGACAGGGAGGAATCATGACGCAGACGACGGGAATGTGAATTGAGCAACGACGGCAACAGCGGCAAGAGGAATCCGAGTCTGAGCAAAAACTAAGAGCCTGAAGAGCCCCTCGAGGCGGGCAATAAGAAGGAACTCGACGAGCAGAGGAGGAGAGACCTGGTTTTCAAGGTCTGACTCTTCTCTGCATCCACCTCCACAGAGACGACGCGGTGCTTCCCGTCCGCAGTTCTGCAAAAAGGGGCGGGGAAGGAAGATGAGATAGACGATTTTGAACGGGAACAGTGTGATTTCAAAAGAAAAGGGCTCCATCTATGCATGAATTACCATGTGGATGGAGAGTCGTGGGACTCTGGCTGCGTCGGTCTTCCCATCACTGGCGAGAAGCAGAGGACGCAGAGGACGGCTTACTGGGGATGCCGTCGTGCTCATCTTCACCCTGAATCCGCGCAGGGACGCGGAACCCTGAAAAGCCGCCGGCCGCGAAGCCTGCAGACGACCCCGGCAGATGCATCGCCGCGGCATATGACTGGTGCTCAGCGGCGGCGAATGTGTCCGTCCAAGCGCGAACATGTGACGGGCTACTGGACTGAAGGGGACCCCTCTGTGAAAAATACGAGCTCTGGCCGAGCAGCGGATGCAGCGGCGTTGCGTGCGGCGGTGGCATCGTGAAGATGTACCCGCCATTGTTTCCGCCGCCGGTGGCGCCGCCAATGCCGCCCTCTGGAGCGCCATTCCATGGGAACATCCGTAGGTTCTGCTCGGACCAGCTCCCCGAGCCAGCGTCGTAGTTGGAGAAAAGAACTTGCTCGGCGGCCGAGCCGGCTTGGCGGTGCTGTGTGGCGGGCGGCGGATGCCCGTGCAGGAGAATCGGTTCCTGAAACGAGTGAAGGGAGAGGCGGAGATCTTGCCCCTGGCTGCTGGTGCGCGACATGAAGTCCACTGGATAGCTCTGGAAGCCAATTGGGGGGCTCGAAGAACCGCCGGTGGCGGCGGAAATGGGGAAGAAGGACTTGATGGTATCCGCGATGGCGTCCGAGTCCAGAGAAGGGGGGAGAATGCTGCCGGAAGTGAACCCAAATGGGGAGGACCCCAGAGGTTCCGATGTCTGCGACGGCCTCTTGCTGGACTCCCCGACAGCGTCGGTGGTCTCCTCCTCCATCGGGCCCAGTTCGGTCGGCGGCCGTGGGTTGGAGGACGCGGCCCCGGCGGGATGCCAAGCGGGGAGCTCCGCAAGCTCGTCAATGGCGGCCTTGGCGTTCTTGATGAGCCAGTCGACGGCCTTGCTGGGTCGATCGTAGCCGAGGCGGTCCTGGACGTCGTAGAACTGGATGGCAGTGTGAGCGGAGAGGCGAACCCGGCGGTCCCTCGGGCCCTTGGCCGTGAAGACCTTGCTGTGCCGATCCTTCCTTCCCGTGGACCGCACAATGTGTCCTCCCTGCACCTCCACGATCTCGCCGGGCCCCTTCATCCCACCCAGCCGGGACTGCGCCGGCGGCCGGGGGCTGTGCAGGAGCTGGTGGCCGTGGTGCTGATGGTTGTGGTGCTGGTGGCTCTCCCCCATCCTCGCGGCGAAATGGGCATAGTCGGAGGAGGACGCCGTTGCAGCCACAGGAGGAGAGAGGGAGGAAGAGAGGGGGGGAGGGGTGCTTCCCTTGGTGGAACCCTCGGGGTCACCGCCGGCGAGGCAGCTCCTTCCTCCTGTTTCTACGAGTGATGATGCGGGTCTGAATTAGGTTGCGCAGGCGATGCGTCCTCTGGCGATCCAGATCCTTCTCCCCGCGCCACGCTCAGAGATTTCAACCCCCCTGCAACTACCACTCGTGGGTTTCCTTCTCGTCCGGCCGCAGCTGCTGCTCCGGTAATACCCGGCGATGCTCTTGCTGCTTCCTTCCCACCTCTGCAAAGCAAGGTTTCCGTTGAGGGCAGAGGAGCGGGAGGGGTCGTCGAAGCTTAAACTTTAAAGAAACAGGCGAAAGTGGGACGTACTCCCAAGGTCTGGAGGCTCGCAAGGAAGAGAGAGAACCCCCAGTTGGAAATTTCTTTCCCTCTTCTTCCTCAAAATCAAATCAAGGGCTGAGCCAGGGGCTTCACCTTCACATTTTGGGGAGACGGCGGAGGAAGCGGGAGGGTTGGAACGAAAGCAGCAGCATGGACCGCATGGAAGCAGCGGAAAAAGGCGTAAGCTGCTACAGGAAACAGAGGTAATAAGACCAGCAAACAAAATACACAGGAAGGGGGAGATATCAGGACAAGAGGGATATGTTACAGGGTGTTGGGAGGGGGGGGGAGGGGTGGGGGAGGGGGGAGGGGGGAAGAGAGAGAGAGAGAGAGAGAGGAGAGGGGGAGCAGAGAATATTGAAATTCGGAACTCCTATTGGGGGATGCCCACAGCACTGTTTAAGAGAGAGGAAGGGAGAGAGAGATGGCAGAGGTACGTGTCAGAGATTAAAAGATCATCGTGATCTCAGCGCCTCATGGGCGCTGCTGCTACCCACTGTCCCTCCCGTCCGTCACATCGCACGCAAGATGAGCCCTCGTCCCCCTAACAGGGAAAGTATCTCTCTCTCTCAAAGAAAAAACGGGCAGACAAATTACAGAGAAGGGGAAGGTGGAGGCGGCTAACCCCACGCCCATCTGTTTCGTCGCCTCGGACCTCCTCGCTGGATCCCTCCGTCTCTGTCACGCCCTCCTCCCCCTTCCCACGTCTTTCTTTCTCTTTTTCGGAGTCATTCCCCTCTGTCATTTTCACCTCCCCTCGACAAGGACGTACTCACGCGGCCCTTTCGGTGGTGTCTCTATCTCTCTCTCTCCTCTCTCTCTCTTCCTCTTCGTTGCCTTCGCAAAAGGGCAACCAGGGATCGTACTCTCCTCCCCAGTCTCCTTCCCGAGGTGACGACCCTCCTCCCTCTCCCACCCACCCACTCCGCTTCCCTCCTTCGGCTACCGACTGCTACCTACGGCTTCGTCCTCGGATCCTGCACCAGCTTCCCCCCAGCTCAGTGTAGACGGAGCAACAGCTGCCGGGCAATTCCGGCGACGATCCCTCAGGTGGGTCCGTTTCGGGAAAGACGCCCCCACACCTCCCCCCTCCCTCTGCGAATCTCACAGGTCAGGGAACGATCGCTTTGATGAGGCGATAGCCTCATTTACACCCGACTTTGCCGTCGCCGGAATTGGATTATCGAAGACCGGTGAGGTCAGCTGAGTCAACCCCATCTTGACTCCGCCACCTAAACCCTCTTTCGGATTAATACTAAACGGGTATGTGGCCTAGTTGACTCCTCGTTGACGTCGATCTGTGCCGACAGGGAGGACTGAAGGACGACGGGGCACCCTGGTGTGGATAGAGCCTCTTCTCCTCGAGACAGACGACCACCGGCGGCGTGGGCATGAGAAAGGCCATGATGCTTTCCAGCGGCGCCGCCGCTGGGCTCCGTCCATCTGTCCCGCTGCCCGAGCTTTCTCTGACGAACCCACATGAAAGCGTCGGCGGCGGCTCAGAACCAGTCTTCCTCTCTAACTCTCTTCACAGTCGAGCTGTTCCCTTCCTCTTTCTACACTTCACCAGCCTCCTCTCTCCGTACGCTCTTCTGTCTCTCCCATCTCCGGCCTGTGGAGGACGTTCTAGCGGACGAACCAGGTCGAGGGGCATCTCTGAGGAGTACGAACGGTCCAATCATGTCCGGCGACATCGGTCAGCTAGCAAGTCGGAAGCAATCATGAAGAGCCACGAGTAGGAGGAGCCTGTTGATGACAGCCAATTCAACAGTCCCCACCACAGCGTGGCCCCGGAGGAACTCGAGCTCTACAGGCCTTCCGGAGCGAGGACCACAGCGACAGGCTCGCGGGGACGAACGAGGGAACCCCTCCGCCAGGTCGCCGGCGATGCCGGTCGTCTGACCACCGCCCCCCCCTCGCCCCTTCTTCCGGCCGACGCACTGTGCGGGCAGGAGCAGTACTGTTAGGGGGCTGTAAGAGCGAACTGCCGCTTTCATCTCGGACTTTCGACCTTCCCCTCCCTGTAGAATTTGTCAAAATGAAATCTTCGAGGAAAAGATCTGTGTTGTTCTCATGCATGCAGTTACGTGATGGGATGACGGCGGAGCAGATGTCAACTGCGCAAATATTTTATAAATCTGTAGATCTCGTGGCCGTTCTGACTGGGCGATGGTGATCTTTCTTAATAACAAGGGCTTATCCTGGAAACTGCGGCCTGCCCAACCGACCTGCTCCTCCTCCTCAGCCGACCCCACCGGCCGGGGCCAGCCGATTCCTCGGTCTGATGTCGACGTCTCACGCCGTCGGCCGCCGGAAGCCCAAGCCCCCGTCGTCCCTCTCTCTCTCGTGACCTCAGTTGACTTCTCTGGAGGCGGCTCCACGTCACTGCATGGGCTCACCATGACGGCGAGCTTCGGTCCTCCCTCGCTAAGATAAGATCGGGAGAGGCGGCGGTAGATTCCGTCAGAAGAAGGGGGCCCTCCACGCCTCCATTTCTTCACATGTTCTCCCATTCTCTCCCGGTCATCCTCATCTCAGGGAACGGATAAATCCAAGAAAAGTCAAGCATCAACAGCTCAGCGAAAGGTACCATGCCATGGAGCGATCTGCGGAATCAAACAAGAGCTCCCTTTAAATCCAGACGACGAACCGAGCAGAGAGGAAGGCGCCGGATGATCTTCCCCCGCAACTGATGTTCTCTCCCCGGCGTCGGAGCGGGCTCTCCGGCGGACGGCGGCGGTCATCTTCCTGCGCCGAGCGCCACTTCCTTGGGGCGGGGAGCAGCGCCCATGTGAACAGTCGCTGGGCGGGGCGGAGCGACAGCGACGCAGCGGCTCCTTCGTCACATAAATTCATCCGCATACGACTGCCGGGGGACTTAATGGTGCAATTATGGGGCTCGCACAATATCTCCCTTCCGGCCAGCCGACGCGCTGCACCAACAGTACAGCTGCCACCGGCGGTGGGCGGCGTGGGGGAGAGGGAGAATGGAGGAGAAGACGGCAATAATGGGCGAGTAGCGAGTTGCCGGAGGGGAGAAGCCGTCGCCGCGGAGGCGCGCACGCCCGTAGACCATGTTGGACAATTGGGCCGACGGCGACCTGCCGCTGCCCATCTCTGAACGAGAAAGCGACGTGTTGGCGTGGCTGCGTAGGAGGAGATCTCGCGGCCGGGAAGCTGCCGCCACAGACAATGTGAGGGAAGAGAGGGGGCAATCGGAGTTTCACCTGGGGAAGCTGGAGACGCCGGGGAGGGGAGTTCGAGGAAGGGATCAAGGAACTCTCGACAGAGTTATCGTTGTCGGGTTCGAGGTGGCGACGGAGACCGCTGAGGGGGAGGGGAGAAGGTGGGGGCTGAGCTAGTGCGCCGCCTGCGCAGGACTTTTCTGGGTTTCGCGTTTTTTTTTCTGCCATTATGATCGGCTTTGGAATCGCAAATCACGCGAATACCATGAAATTGAAAAAGGCTAGCGAATGAACTGATTTTAGGAGATACTCAGACCGCGGATTCGGGGCCCTTCTCTCTCTCTCTCTCTATCTATCTATCTATCTACCTATCTCTATCTATGTATCTCTTTCGCTCTCTCTCTCTCTCTCTCTCTCTCTCTCCGGTGGACCGGATTCTAAGGGTACAGAAGAGGACGGTGGGCAAGGGACGGATCTGTATCTCTGCGTCAGCAAGCACATAAACGTGTGTCCAAGCCTCACTTCTGCAAGTGAAAGCGACGAGCCAGCGGGGAGGAAGGAGATGTCGCTGTAGAAGCCCGCCAATACCCTTCAGCCTTCCATCTTCATCAATCTGTAGACGGTAAATGTAGAGACCCACCAAGGTCATTGCTCTGAGCCTGGTCGTCGCTACAGCGTAGTGTTTGGGCCAGGGATGGACGCCTCATTCAGGCCTTTGAACAAATAGTTAACAGGCGTTCTCTGTTGCAGGCCCAGAGCTCCACAGCGTCCTGGCGAAGACGACACCTTCCCGCTCAGCTAGGAATTCCCCCGGCCCCCGGCGACTGTCTTGTCCAAGTGGGCTTCATCTCTCTCTCTCTCTCTCTCTCTCTCGCGCGCGCGCGCGCTATACTGGGCTGGAGGCCCTGAGCTCTACAGTTGGGGAGCTATACGGCTTTCTAGGACGTCCAGCTCTGAGACGGCCCACGTTAGGCCCAGTTAATCAGATGGCCCACGTCTGGCTCATATTAGGCGGACTTTTGGAGGTCTCTGGAATTGGGGGTCCCATTGTCTCCAGATAAGATTCTATTTTCTCTCCCTTTTTCCATTGGCTGTTGAGATTTCGCCTTTAAGAGAGAGAGAGAGAGGGAGAGAGGAGGATCTTTTCAGGTACCCATTGCTTGTCCCTAAGCAAATTTATCAACGAGAGAGAGAGAGAGAGAGAGAGAGAGAGAGAGGAGGATCTTTTCAGGTACCCGTTGATAATCTCTAAGTAAATTTATCAAAGAGAGATAGAGAGAGAGAGGGAGGAGGATCTTTCAGGTATCCGTTGATCGTCTCTAAGCAAATTTATCGACGAAACGCGAGGCCACCTTCTGGTTTGATTGAAGAATTCCCCATGTTTGCTCGCTGAGTTGTCACCTGCTCCTTGCTCCCCCGGCGCAGGTAACGCCCGGCGATCGAGAGTCAGGCAGCTCGTGACGGGGGGAAACGCATCGCCCTTGATCTAAAGCTGGGCCGCGGGGCAGCGTAAGATGAGCCAGATTGCACAAATGTGAAGAGGGCACACGGCCATGAGGGCGGTGCTGAGGAGGGTCTCCGCTCCGATGGCAGCAAGCAATCCGCTGGCCGCCATGATGGAACCCGGCAGCAGGGTCGAGAGCCTGATCCAGCGACTCCGCCTCTACAAAGCCCCTTCCTCTTCGTTCTCCTCCGACAGCGAGGGGGAGTGCGATGACGATGTCGACGAGCGGGGGAAAGTGTTCTCCCGGATGGGTATGGTGGAGTCCGTCGCCACCGACAAGGTCATCGTCCCGCGCCCGGAGGGCTGCAAGTCCAGGCCTCGGGCGGCTGTCCTGATCTGTCTCTTCGAGGGCGACCTCGGCGAGCTACGCGTGATTCTCACCAAGCGCTCCTCCACGCTCTCCACGCACTCCGGTAAGACCGCCGCATCCCGTCGATCGCCCTTTTCCCGCAAAAATCTGCTTGCTGCTCGGAGAAAAGCGCCGTATTCCGCAGTGGGCTGTGCCATGCGGCCTCCCTTACCTTCCATTTCCTTGCCCGCAGGAGAGGTGTCGCTGCCGGGGGGGAAGGCGGAGGACGGCGACGTGGACGATGCTCACACGGCAACCAGGGAGGCCAAGGAAGAGATCGGGCTCGATCCATCCCTCGTCACCGTCGTAACTCTCCTCGAGCCCTTCTTGTCCAAGGTATGAATATGGAAAGTCCGCATTACCTCTTCCACGGTGAAAAGCTCATGCTGCTGGCGAGACGGATGTACAGAAAGGCCGATCAGACATCGCTAGGAAGCTTCTGTCGGAAACTGATGCCTGAACTTTCTCCACCAAGCCAACGTTATCCTTCTCTTTATATTCATCACCTACACTAAGAAAAAACGTTTCCCTGGATGCCCTGTTGAACGAGGATTCTCAGAATGGGCCGATTCCGTGAAAACGTGAGATGGGTCTAGGAAAAGTATTGTCTTTTGTTATGGTTCAGCTCCATAAATTCGCTGGATCAGCTTGTGCTTCTTCATTCATTCCTCACCTACGAGAGACCCGGCACCCGTTTTAATGTAAATCGAAGATACTATCACCACAACTTGAGAATCAGTGAGGCTTAGTTGAACCTGCTTGATCGCTGAATCCTTGCCATGAAAGAGTTTCTTCCCTGTACTTCTTGATTCTGCTCCACCAAACCAAAAGCTGATTGCTGTCGGTTGTTGAGAACATTCACGCAAAGCACGAGATCGACACTTTCGTAGCTTCTAATGGCGTCCACTAAGCAGGAATCCCATATTACCTGTTGGGCCTGCCGCACTCACTGTCAATTGGTTTTGAGCTGGATGAAGCAATGCTTCTACCCAGATACTGAGAAGGTGTACCGAATATACATCACTAATACATATATATATATATATATATACAATTGATAAAAGTATTCCTGGAATTACGAAGCCCAAGAAGATGTTTTCATGGATTGAAATCTGAATGGTTCTGTTGATTGATCTCTGCCTACTGCATGAAAAACTTTGGCTAAACATTCCCACTTTAAATGTTTTCGAAGATGGTTTTTATATCCCCGCAGAAAATGGCTTAGATGCGGCCTTACTGCTTTCCTTTAAGATTCCAGGCTGGGAAAGTAGTTGCATTGGTGGATACTTGAAGTGGACATTCTTCTCTTTCATATCATGCGATCCTCCGATGAATAGCGCGGAAATATTCTGAACAGTTCATCAGCAATCCACGTTCATGTAACCTGATATTTGGGTCACATTTTATATTAAAGATGTAGAGCCGAGAAGCCTTAGCTTCCCTTTCAAGTATACTTCTTCTGTGAGGGAAGTCCTGTGCCTCAAGGATCTCCACTCTCGGTCTAATAGTGATTGCTGGATCCTTTCTCTATCGAGGAAGAGAAGAGACCACTGAGCTTGATTACTTTTCTCCCTGCAGCATCTGCTTAGAGTAATCCCAGTGATCGGGGTTCTCTCCGACAAGAAGGCGTTCAAGCCCATTGTCAATCCTACAGAGGTGGAGACAATATTCGACGTGCCATTGGAGATGTTTCTGAAGGTACCGCCCTCCTCTCCTCTCTTCTCTCGAGATTTTCTTGCTCCCACAGACCATCTCCCGGAACCGGACAGTGCTATGAGGTGATTTATTTTGGCCGCTCGATGCAGGACGAAAGCAGGCGATGGGAAGAACGCAGTTTCATGGGCCGCAAGTACCTCGTCCATTACTTCGATTATGAGACCGGGGATAATAAGTTTGTCATTTGGGGGTTGACCGCGGGGATCTTGATTCGAGCCGCGTCTGTCGTTTACCAGCGGCTGCCGTCCTTCCCAGAACAGAAACCTTCGTTCAAGATTGCATTGTGAATGCAACCCCCGGCCCTCCCTTCAGCGGCGTGGACGGCGGCTGGATAGAAGCCGCGGAGATAGATTCTTCCACCCACAACTGCTCGTTGCCCATGTGAGCCGGATTCTTCCCCCAAGAACTCCTGCTCTGAAGGATTTGTTTATGCGACCACCTGAAGGGAGACATTAATTTCCGGCTGCCGGGAAATAAAATTTGCGAAATCTCCGAATTCAGCTTACAGCTGCATGCTAAAATAATCGAACGGAAAGCAGTTTGGTCAAATAAAAAAATTCTATCAGCATCGTCACCGTTCAGTTTCAAAAACCCAGATTTTCTCCCGGGAAGATCATCCCGCCTCACTGGACTGCACAGATTCACCAGATATCGACGCCGAAACGCATTTCTTTCTCGACGCGAGCTATTTTGTAAACGATGTACCAAGATGGTACGAGCTTTGCGGAGCCCTTGGTCCATCTCTTCCTCGGAGAGGTCCATCCAAACCTAGACGTTACCAATCATTCACACCACATATCCTAATATGGGATCATAGTTCAAGCCAAATATTGCCGGGACTGGAATTCTGCACAATCCACCTCCCAACGTTCCGAAATCTAACCAATAGGTGCACTCTTCCCACCTACTGACAGCTCTCATCAGGCGTATTTCTTTGAAGGCTGCAGATAAGGTATTAGAACGAGCGACCGATAGTCTCCAACCAGCAAGGCTTGAGTTTGATGGGAATGATGGAAGAGTCATCCGTAATGGAGGACATGGGGGCCTGTGTTGATAAGTTACTCCAATTTTTCAGTTTTTTTTGTGTTCATGTATTACTCTTTTTTATTTTTTATTTTCTATGGTGAGAATGTGGGTCCTAGCTTTTGATGATAATTGGGTAGCTTCCCCATTGGAGTTATGAATTTTGATGAGAACTCACCAGTACAAATCCTCTAACAACAGTTGTAGACAGTAGAAATAAGTCTCTTTTGACATGAAGAAAATAAGATGCCAGTTTCTCCTCATAATTTCATCTGCATTCTGCAATAGCATGACAAGGAGCGATCACAGTCTCTGCACCTCACATGATCATGCTTATCATCTAGACACTGCAACTCCCAACAATCAATTACTAACATTAATCTAGCAACTTCTTGATTGAAACCTGACCCATCTTTACCTCCAAATTTAGTACAAAACCATTTTTCAAGGGAAAGAGGGGGGGCACAAAATCCACTAATACAATCAGTTAGCTGTTCCATACATTTTCTGATAAATATACATAAATATATATGTGGGTATTTAACTGAAAATGACAATCTACTTCTAGAATGAAGATGAGCAGGTTCTTCATAATTTTCCAGTGTCGTTTCTGTTGGATTGGATGGAATATCTTAGCGTCTATAACACCATTTCCGGAGTTTATCTATGTATGGGGCAAATTTGACATCACTGAACCAATCTGAAGTAGGAGTTCACACAGAGATTCATAATTCGGCATACTAATGAGGCACTATAATATTCATTTGTTTTTCTCCCATGACAAGATGCATTACGTCAAATAAGCCACCTATAGCCGTTTACGCTCAATCATTAGAGACGAAAGCTGCACTCAAGTTGACCCATCAATGCATGAAATGTTAGAGTAAAACGCTAGCGATTTCGCAGTTTGGTGACAGATAATTTCCAAGCCATGACGTCAGTTTTTAATATTTTATTTGCAAAAAAAATGTATGTATCCTTAGAAACAGAAGATAGAGATTGTACAGCCTCGGAACTCAACAAAATTAAACTAATATTGACATGCAAGCATACGGTACAAAAGATTGGAACATCAACGATCAAGAAAATCTTCACGCAAATGTATTTCACAAATGTTACACATTATCCAGCGAAACATTGACAAAACTCATCATGAGCAACCGACCTGAGAAGAAAGGCTAACCATGAAAGTACAAAATTAATAAATTCGGGGAAGATTTTGCGCCATCTCATACTCAACTGAACACCTCATAGAATTTCTCAATGACTAGCAATCCTGAGTCGATTGACTCCAATGGATCCTTCCTGAGCCGGTGTCTCAAGCAGTTTGGGATCACAGTAGCTATGTCTTCTGATGTCACCTTATCTCTCCCCTTCAATGCTGCCAGAGCCTTGGCAGCACGGTTTGTCACAATATCGCCTCTCAACCCATCCACATTCAGCTCTGCACACACCCTGGAAATCTTCACACGAAGGTCATGGTCGATCTGAACAGATCCCAGTGTACTCCGTGCAGCTGATATCTGTTCCTGGAGCTTCTCCTGTTCTGCGTTGTAAGATTTACGGAATCCCTTGGGGTCTCGATCAAACCGTGCCCTCTCTTCAACGATCTTAACCCTTAATTCAGCATCTTTTACAGTCCCCACCTGAGCGTGCATCCCAAACCTATCGAGAAGCTGGGGCCTCAGCTCTCCTTCTTCAGGGTTTCCAGACCCGATTAGGATGAAGCGAGCAGGATGAGAAATGGAGATACCCTCCCTCTCCACCGTATTCCAACCTGACGCAGCAGAGTCAAGAAGCACGTCGACCAAGTGATCATCCAATAGGTTAACTTCGTCCACATATAGAATGCCCCTATTGGCCTTGGCGAGCAAACCAGGCTCGAAGGCCTTGACACCTTCTGTCAGGGCCTTTTCGATGTCGATGGTGCCACAAACGCGGTCCTCTGTCGCTCCGAGAGGGAGGTCCACCATGTTGATCTTGGTACACATGGTGGGCAGTTTCTCCCCTTTCAGGATCAGCTCCCTCACCTCGACGCCCATGGACTCTGGGTCCTCAGGGTCGGAGTTGAAGGGATCACCGGCGACAACTCTGATCTCCGGCAGCAGATCGACAAGGGAACGGACGGTTGTGGACTTACCAGTGCCACGGTCGCCCATGATCATAACACCTCCAATCTTGGGATCGATGACGTTCAGTAGAAGGCACAACTTCATCTCATCCTGCCCAACAATGGCGGCGAACGGGTAAACAGGCCTCTGACTCTCCTTCGCCGCCTGCCTCTGAGCCTGAAGAATAAGGCATAGGCAATTTAGAATTCTTGAACACGGATTCTCTCTCCAAAGATTAGCTACGGATTTTCGAGCAAGAAAATTGTCTTTAGGGTTCTATCGGAAAACCAGGAACAACAGAGATACGACCAATCAAAAAGGATAAAATTAACTCACCTCTTCGACGGAGCTGACCTCTGTGGCCACTGCTGCCACGCGAAAATCACGTCTACCTCTTCTAACCTTCACTCCGCCACCCAGGTTTCTGTGGAAGCTCCTCACATGGGTTTCACTGACGACTGCAACAAGAATGGCATGATTGATGGTGCGAAATAACAAGGAGAGAATTCGCTCATTCAATGTGATATCAGGGAGGTCTCCATCCACATACAGGCTCCGGAAGTGAGGGAAGGGGCGGAAGACGAGGCGGAGAGCGTCCTGTTCCGGGAGGCGAACAAGGCGAGGGAAGACGTGGAGCCGAGCAGCGCCGCCATGGGAGTTCTTTCGACTGCTCTCACCCCAGTTCCACCCTCCCACGCAGAGACCTCTAGCGAGACTCACAGTAGAGTGAGATTGTGGCGAGGGGATAAGACGATAGGGTGATATCAGGGTAGCGTATGGGGCTCCCGGCATCGCTCTCCGTCCACCTTAACGGCGTGCCGTTAAGTTTTAACAGTAATCATCACCTCTGGTGGAGCGTGCGGCGGAAATGAACCCCAACACCGGCGGCGTAGAACTCCCCTCGTGGTACTAACATCCTAGTCATCGATGAAAATAAGTATATATATACTTTTTAAATAAAAAAAACCAAATTTATCTAAAAAATTATAATAAAAAGATTCATTTTTTAAAACTTCTGCCCTGAATATTCATGCAAAACCCAAATAATTTGGCACATAATGGAACCCACTTGTAATTTATATGGTACAGAAATATCTTTCTTAAATTGCCCGAAATAGAGATCGAAATAAATAGGAGTACTTTAGCCAAACTGATAGTTCTGAAATGACAAATAAAGGATCAAGATACCACAACACTTGGAATATAAGATGAAAACCATCAGATCCCAACAAGCGACCTCTAAAAGGACTCAAGGCTGAAAAATATCAAGAAATACATGCATTACTCTCAAGTCAACATTTGTCACCATTAGTACATATGGAACTTGTAATAGTAGATACAATCTTGATTTTGGCCAAAAAAAGGAACTCTATTTTTGGCTTTAATCATCTTCCGCTATTACTTGGAGAAATGGGGCTGATATAGATGACATATCATATGGGAGATATAAAAGTGACACCTACTAATGCTATTGTTGTTATAACAATGAAACTCTTTTCTATTAGCTACTAGAGGATTTTCTTACCCTAATTTCCTAGTATCTTTTTCCTTTTTTTCCTCCCCCATGTAGACTTGGTTTTGGCTGCATTCCTACCCTCTGGGGCAGTGTAACTTGAGTTACATCTATTTGTTTTACCCATTAAGGAGAAGAATGGACTGACAAAGCTTCACCTTCACATTAGTTAATGGGCTATGTGAGACTTATTTTTTTGTTTGTAAACTTCAAGTTTCTCTTTAAATACAACTTATCTCAACATATCTGAACCCTTCTCAATTGTGCGTGCTTTCGTAAGGTCTTGTTCTTTTCGTTCAAGAGAAAAAATGAATATAGTGATGCCTTACATCCAAGTGCTTAAACCTTGAGTGAAATGTTTGATTTTTTCTATATCCCACTTTGATTATCTCTATAGGCAATACACGATATCTTGCCTCAAGCTTAATTATTTCTTAAAAAGTTTTCCATTCATAAGACTTTATTAGAAACTTTAGTAAATGCAACATATTTTTCTTATGTAGTCAATAAAACAACATGTTTTTGAAAATTTTGGTTTCCATGGGATTTATTTCCTCACATAACCTGAAGTAAATTGTATATAGTCATTATTATCAACCACATCACCATTTATACCACCATCCAGCATAAGCTCACTATTGTCAAAACATAAGCAAGTCATAGTGGTGCATCATTGAAAAGTAAAAATTGTGTTGTTGCTATATTTAATGCTCTTTGCCTAGGCTTAGAGAGAAATTACCCAATGATCCTAATTGCATGAGTAATACTTGGTCTTGTGTAGACCACAAGATACATGAGACTCTCAAAAATAAATTGGAAGGTGCATCTAGATCACCTCCCTTTTAGGGAGAGCTAATACTTGTTGGGTATTTTGGTTTGACATTGTTTCACACCCAGAAAGAAGCAAGCTATGTTTGAGCTAAGTTTGGATATTGCAGTTGCAAATAACTTTGAATATCCTCCTTCTCACTTATGTCATTATTTGAAGGTAAATTTAAAAAATGATGTACAAGTGTGAAATTTAGTAGTTTGAGATCATTCTTGTTGAATTTCTTAATATACATTTAATAAACCTCTCTACCGATTGTCAAAGTTGTAGATACCCTCATTGTTGACACATATAGTGAAGAATTTATTTGTGAATTATTATTGAATGAGTCAAAACATAATTCTTATATATACATCATAATTGTTTTCATGATGAGATAAGTTTAATTGACAAATATTCAAAACATATACATCAATGATGCTTTATGTAATCCTATGCCTGACAATAAATTCAATGAGTCACATCTTCAAAACTTCAATTGTTGAAGTTGTACATATCTCTAAATAGAAGCTTTGAAGACTACTTGTGATAAGTTTGTACATTTCAAAGCAAATGAAGATTTAATACCAATCTCTCATACTTTGGATGACAACACGTCATCATAGTGCATAGACTAAACAATAGGCTCAATAGTAGGCTTAAAGATAATATCCTAGCTCAACTTTGAAGACATGTGTGTATTTTGATCAGTTGAGTATCTCTCAACACCATATCAAAGACAACATACTTATGACTTAGAAGATCTAAGTAGAAATATAACTGAAGGTCAGAGGTTCGAATTATAAATGGTAGTTCATCAGTAGAAGATGTGGACTAAAGATAAGTCAAATAATCTCTTCTAAAAAAGACATTGAAATAAGGAATGTTCGTCAATAAGGTTAAATATTCATATAAAATATCACAAATAACTATTATAAGAGTAGACAACCTAGAAGTAAAAAGTAACTAAAAGTCACTAGAATATCTATACAACATAAATATATTCAAAATAATATGACTATTTTTAGATGTTGAAGTGACATGAATCTATTGGAGTATAAATAGAAGGAGTAGATAACAAATAAAGTTAAAGTTGAACAAATAAATCTTAATCAATATTACTCACACAAAGCAAGATAAGAAACCATGTTCAATCCACTTACAATAAAGTACTTGCGCACTTCAAAGAAGTAATTAAAACTTCATCATTCTCAATCATCTAAGCAACATACAAATCAATCAATATATTTACGGTTGTCTTTCTCCATCAGGTCATAAAATAACTTAGGTGGTGTTGAGAAAAAATAAGGCTAAGGCACCAGGTGTTGAGAGTCAAATTCTACTTGTGAAAGGTGTTAATTTTTCAAGGGAATTGTACCTTGACTTAAATATGTGTTGTTGTGAGTCAAGACTTGTCTATGAGGGGTGAGATCTCTATAGAGATCAAACGATTGTGTTAGGAGAGTTGAGCTTGTAAAATCAACTATATTTCTATAGAGAAAGAATCAAAATTCAGAAAGAGTATCCTCCGGTACTAGACATAGCCTAAGGAAAGATGAACTAGTATAAAAGTTTTGTGTCTACCATCACTAGAAATGAGAGAAAAAGAAATCAGAGAGTCCATGTGAAGTAGATAAGAATTGTAGGTTAAATGACATACATACTTTATAGGCAATGTGTCAACACATAAAAAATTAATTTATGTTACTCTTGATATTTCACTTAGTCACATCGAACCTAATAATTAGTACTAGAACATGCCTTGACTAGTAGATATTAATATATCTCAAAGAGTTGATCTTATGACTAATAAAACAACTAAATCTTCAAACCCAAGACTACTTATGTTTGATGTGACAAATTATACATTCTGGAAAATTAAAGACATAATATATGCTACAAGTCATGGATCAAAGGTATGGAAGATAATTGGAGATGATCCACAAAAAGTATCAAATGATGTTATTAAAAAATAAATATTGATGTTAAATGTTAGAACTGTGTGTCTAATTGTGAAATAGTAAAAGAAATATGAGGCAATTTAAAAGTAACATATGAAGGTATGCCTCAAGTAAAGAAAATTAGAATCAATATCCTAGTGAGAAGGTATGAATCATTCTACATGAAGGAAGGAGAATCCATCAATCTCATCAAGAGATAATGAAATCATTAATGGCATGCAAAACTTAGGAAAAACCTTTCCCAATAGGGATGTAAACCAAAAACTATTTTGTGTTCTAATTGATGATTGGATGGGCAAGAAAACTACAATTGTGGAATCTAATAATCTTAATGTTATCTCTTTATATGAAATTATTACATCATTGTTAACTTATGAAATAGTTGTCATTAGAAGCAAAGTTCTTGCAAGAAAAAGAAATGCAAATATAATTTTAAGAACAAAAGAAGTATCCAATGAGGAAGAAGAAATTACTCTTTTATCTAGATGACTAACCAAAATATATAAGAGAAAGAACAACTTCCACATAAGAAAGGTATGACTCAAGTAAACACAAATACAACTCATGACTTTTACTCAGCTCTGTGAAACTTCTAACATCTTATGTTTTGAGTGTAAGAAACCATGACATATTAAAGTTGACTACCCACTACTCAAGAAAAAGAATTCAATTAAAAAAATGAAGAAAACTCATAATAGCTTAGAGTGGCGATGATTGCAACACAAATCAAGAACATGAGACAAAAAAAGACATGGGCTAAATGGTGAAGATCTCAAAGGTATACAATTTTAACAGCTCTCCTATATACAATCAACTACAAAATGATTTAGAACAACTAATGGAAGCATTCAAAGATATCAAACTTAAGTTGAAAGCTTCAAAAAAGAAGAATATTAGACTTAGAGAATCAAACAACTCATTAGAAAACAACAACATAAATGATGCCATTCTCATTGAAACATTGGAAAAAGACCATAGAAAATTAGCAAACTAGAGAAAGAACCAGATGATACATGATCATAATTCGAGATACCCATTGTAAGAGAAGAAAAATAGAAATAAGTTGTCGTGATAGTAGAAAGGATAAAGAAAAATAATGAAATTAGGTGCCAAAGATTTACATAAATCTCATTTGAGCAGTCCAAATACACAAAAGGATGATCATTAACTAAGTATAGAAAATCTCAAATTAAGAAAAAAAAAGAGAATAAGAGTACAAAGATCAAACAGTTCACTAAAAATGACATTAAATTGAAAAAAAAGCATTCTAACTTGATGACATATTACAACAAACTATGCGGAAGTTAAATATAATTAGACATGTTACTAGAAAGTTATAAATCAACTCTTAAAAATGAAATATTAGGTTATTGACATGACCTAATCATTACATAATAAACCACGCAAGTTTAAAATTTATAAAACTAGAAAATACTAAGTTTTAGATTTTTAGAAATATTTTTTTAATTATAAATAAATTATATTTTCATAAAAGGTTCTAAAAATAGTGAAAAATTCTCAAGTTGATTATAAGGATGTAAGACAATCTAAAAATATTTTAAAATCTTCCTTAAGGAATATTATTTTTAATTATTTTTGGATTATATGATGAATATAAAATATATTTAAAAATTTACAAAAAAATGGGTGCAGTCATCAAGATGATGTTAGTGTCCTAACGAATATGATTTAGAAAAAAATAGAGTTCCACCCAATGATTCTTACATAAATGATTATAGATGATTTAATTGATCAAATTAAGAATTGTAAAAGCTAGAATAATCATAATTGAATACAAAAGATTTTGAAACTTGAAATAGTACAAAATCTTACTAATTTAAGTAAAAACTAAGTTTAAACTAGAAAAGATAAAGTTTTGACTGTGCCACTGTAATTACTGAAATTCTATATTTGAAAAGATTATCATGTGATATCGGTAGCTTCAAAAGTTTTTTTTTATATATGGATGACATAGGCAATCTCTAAATCTTTTTGTAAAGTCTAAAAATGAATAAAATTAGTTGACAAAATCGGCGGCTGCCACCTAATGCAATAAAAATATGGTAACTTTTGAATCTTTAGTAATTATCACTAGATAGAGATAAGTTGAATAGAGGTGGGATGCATCTTAGGAGGCTTCATCCTCAAGTCGACATAGCAAGATGATGTTTTCCTTCTCATTTGATATGCTCTTAAGAAGTGGTGACTTGTCTCTTCATGGATCATCCTCTTCTTGACAAGGATTTGCTCATCAATTAATCAGATATGATTTTCTTAGTAAATTTACAATCTTTTTATCTAGAATCATTTGACAACTGGTAATGTTCTAGGAATTGTATTAATAAAACTTTTAATAATGATTGAATAATTATGATAGTTTTTTCATTGACTAGTGCTATATAAGAAAATTAAGATTTAATTAAATAAAAATATGAATTTTGGCTCTAGTGGGATTTAAACCTTTGCTAGTAACTCACCTATATGAGAGAAAGTTAAATAAGTATGTGAATTCTCTTGTCAAATGACGTTATAAGGGTGTATCTTTATTACCATTAAGGGATATTTTAAGTACATAAAAAAAGTAAAAAACTTGCTAGTGACTACTTGTATAAGTTCAGTACTACATCAATCATTTTTTATTTTTTAAGACACATATATAATAATACCTCTTCCTATCAAATAAAGTCTCTCACGCATGTACGATCACTCTTTACCTCAGCCTAGCTGACCACTAGTGATGTGGAAGGGGAGTGACACACACATGTCTGCAACCGGTCCTTAGTCACTTATTTGTGGCTCTACCCAACTATGCTTCCAATCCCCATGTGGGTCCAACTAGCCAATGAGTCCTTTGACTGTGCTTTCAATGCACTTGTAGACTTGATTGACTAGTGGGTCCCCCTTTTTTCTATTTTTTAATTTCATTTTATTTCTCTTATTTTATCTAAAAAATATGATTATAAAAATTATATAAATTCACATTATAAATTGAATATTTAAATTGATCAACTAAAAAACCTATTTTCTCAATTTAACATAAATATAAATCTATTTATCATGAGCTAAGATTTAAAATATATTATTAGTTAATTATTAACTCATGATAATAAAAACTTATCAATTATTATTTAAATTCACCTAGAAATGATTTAAAGAATGAAATCAAAGTAGTCAATGGAACTAGGATAGAATGCAAAAGACAATTCATCTAGGTACCTAAGAATAAGATAAATAAACCAAAAGTAATTTTGATTCCCCATTTGAGAACTTGATCATGTTTTTCAAGGGGATCTTCAACGGTACTCGAATATTAAGTGTTCAAGGCACATGACTAAAGATCAGAGTTTGCTCTCTACATTTGAGTCAATGGATGGAGGAGAAATCACATTTGAGGATGACAAAATAAGGAATATCTATGGGTATGAAAACATTTCTCTAAATGATAAATCTATTGTTAAAAATGTACTTATTTTTTATAGATTAAAAGTATAATTTGATCAACATTACTCAACTATGTGATAATAGATGGAATTCAGGTTTAGAAATAATAAATGTATTGTATTGAATGAAAATGATGGTGAAGTGATTTTTACTAGAGATAGGAAAAGAAATATGTACACTCTTGATCTTATAAATTTAAGTCAAAGCAATGTATGTCTCATGACCAAGACAAATAAAAAAGAAATAAATTAATTGACATAAAAGGCTTGGACGTGTAAATGTTAGAAAAATTAAAAAATTATCAAGGTTGAACCTAGGTAGAGGTCTATCTAACATCACAAATCGAAAAGACTACATAAGTGAGAGTTATATCAAAGGAAAACAACCTAGTGAACACTTCAAATGGAAGGAGCTTATCTCCACCACAAAGCCTCTAGAAGTCATTCATCTAGATTTGTTTGGTCCAAATCAAATTGCTAATTTGGGAGGAAAACTTTATTGTCTTGTCATTGTTAGGTGTACTTTTTATCTCACAAGAATTAAGTTTTGATTTGTTTATAAAATTTGCTAAGAAATTACAAACATTACTAGATATACAAATTAGAAATATTAGAAGTGATCATGGAGGAGAATTAAAAAACAACATATTTTTGAAATTCAGTGAGGAACTACAAATCACTTACAAATTCTCAACACCTAGAAGTCTTCAAGAAGATAGAGTAGTAGAAAGAAAGATAATACTACTTGACATATCTAGGACATTGTTGTCCAAAAATGATCTTCTCAAATATTTATGGGTTGAAGCTATTAACACTGCATGTTATGTCGTAAATAAATTACTTATTAGGTCAGGATTAAGAAAGACTTTGTATGAATTGCTGAAAAACAAAAAACTAAATGCAAGTCATTTCAAACCATTGAGATGCAAATGTTTGATCCTTAATAATGGAAAATAGGAGTTAAAGAAAATTTATCATATGAGTATGAAATCTTTTTAAGATACTCTAAAAAATCTAAAATTTACAAAGTGTACAACAAAAGAACCCTAATAGTTGAAGAATCAAACATGTCAAAGTTGTAGAACAACCTAGTGGTTAGGAAACTACATTGTGCAATACTGAATACGTTGACAATGACAATATAGATAGTAGGGATCCAAAAATAAAGAAGAAGAGCTATCTCACTTAGAAAAAAATGTTGATTTTGTTGACTTACTGATTTTGTTAACTTTAAAACTAACCCCTATATTCACTTCTATAATCACCTTGAACATCATTTTTCTTTTAGTATATATTTCCCTTTGAATGTTACCATAATGTAGTCAATCCACAGCATCTAAAAAGTCTATAACTTTTGTAGAACTATCATGAAGGTTACAAAATTGCTTGGTCTACTAAGTGGTTTATGAATGCTAAAGCATTCATTAATATCAATTCAACGAAAAATATCTGTTTTTTCTCTAGAAAAAGGATATCAGTGAAGCACACCTCTGGTTAATTTACTATGAAAATAATTGACAAATGTTTTAAAAGGCATACCTTCTAAATTCGTTAATGTCAATGAAAGATATGAAAGGTTTTCGAGCATGAGAAGAAGCAGAGTGACCTAGAAAAAATCCTTGAATGCAGATGGGAAAATTATTGGAGTCTAGTCCAGCTTCAGCCTCCGTTATTTCTCCATAAACGACACCTCACGAAAACTTATGTGTAGATAAATTAGACCCGAAAAAATATCAATAAATGTATGTGCGACTCTGGGCTCAACATTGGCCACCATCAGCTGTCTGGGAGCTCGCCGCAAGGGTGCATACAAATTTCACTTGTGTTGAAAATAACTCTGTCTTGGCTTTAGATCTTCTTGCACAAGTTACTCCGGAAAACTTCGTTGCCTTAAATAGCTTATTATGCATTCAGTACGGAAGAAGCTGATATCTGCCGCTCTGTTAGATTCTCAATAGAGTTTTCTAAGACCAGCTTTTCCTCTTCTCCGGTCCTGCTTGTTCCCTTTTCCCCCGCTTTTCCTTTCGGGTGGGGTGATTGGTAAAGAGTGGCACGGACGATCTCTATACTCTACTCTCGACACCCGCTAAACCCTTCATCTCCTCTCTGAAAGCCGGCATCGCATCCATGGCTAGACACACAAGAGCCCTGAAGCCGCCGTTTTTGACGCCGCCCACCGAAGGGTAGGGCAAGAGAAGGCAGGGCTCCAAGCTCCCGAGCAGCTTGAAGGACAGGGAAAGGACGGAGACGGGACTCCCCCAGCCGAAGTCCACGGCCGAGTGGCCCAGGTGCCTCCAGTCGGTGAAGCCGCTGACGTTCTCGCCGGCAGTGATCCCGTCGGCGTAGTGGAGTTCCTGGAAGTCGATAAAGGAGCGGACGTACTCCTCCGTGACGCCGCGCTTGCTCTTCTTGATCAGTTGCGCCGTCTCCCAAAGAGGCCGCGCCACCAGCTCTCCGGCGGTCGTCTGGGCGTACACAGGGACGCAGCTGTTGCCCCAGTAGCCGGCCGGCAGGCCTGGCTTCAGCAGCCTCCTTATGCTCATCGAGAAGGCGAGCTTGACCTTCTCGCCGGTCGGAACCCGTGCGGCCTTGACCCTACGACAGTGACTGGCTTCAAGGTTTGGATTTCCAGACATTCGAAGCGTAGAAAGAAGGAAGAAGATTTCACGAACCTCGCCTTCCAAATGAACGCAACCAGAACTTCGAACGTGGTGAAGCTGGACGATCCGGACGCCTCCTGTAGCTGGGTCCTGAGACGCTCTAAACACACGTCGCTCACGTGAAAGTACTCTCTGACGACGGCGCCGCCGCCGTCCCTCGCTCCGTACGGATCGGAAAGCCTTCCAGCTGTCCGCAGAACTGGGGTCAAGTCGACCTCCGTCCGAGGCGGCCTCCGCGGTCCCAGCAGCGCTGCCCGATCCCAAACCGGCTCGACCGCCGGCGTGACCGCCCCACGGGCTATCTCCGCCACCGCGCTCAGGAAGAGAGTGGACCCCGCGCCGTCGCAGAAGGAATGGTGGACGCACATGCCCAGGCTGAACCCCCCGCAAGCGAAGAGCGTCACCTGGAGCGTGAGCGGGTGCTCGAGCTCCTCGCCGGCCGTCGGGTCCGGCACGAGACGCTCCACCATGGCGGAGCCGAGATCGTCGAGGTAGTTCAAGGCGGCGAGCGTCCCGCGCGACGAAGCGCGGGTCACCGGCACCCCCTGTCCCTCGGCACAGTACACCTCCAGGCGATCGCCAGCGCTCCGGCGACGGAGACTCCCGGCGAGGGGGTAGTAGCTCGAGAGGGCCTTGGACAGTGCTCCGGTGATGGCATTGAACGGATCGAGAGCAGCGGGACCGCCGCCGCCGGCGTAGATGCGGAGTGTGCGGACGGTGACGTCGAGGTTCCTGTCTGTGTCGAGGTGTGAGAAGCGGGGCGTCTCCTCCCGAGGGTAATCCCCATGGAAGCCGGAGAACGGGGAGGCCGAAGGGAGAACGAGGATCGTCTCAATGGTCTCCACTTCTTGCATGGCGTCTTCTTTCCGTCCGGCGAGGTTGTTGCAGCCGGCTTGGGCAGATCTGAGGGAACGACGACCGAGGTCTGCTTGTCACGACACATTGCAATCCAGGGGGTATCAAATTAGAGAGCCGTCTCGATAATTAAGAGAATAGAAACGTATAAACGCTAAAAAAGTATGGTTTTTAGGTGTGGTTGAAAAGTTAAAGCACGTGCCTTGACTTGGTCGACTTACTCTGACCATTCGTTCCAACCACCCACCATCTTGCGGCCACCGCACTACCACCGCACAACTAACCAGTCTCTGATTATCCGATGATCACGAGATATCCAGGTTGGAAATTTTCAATAATCGGAATTATCGACGTCAGACGTGTAGGAATTGCAGCGGCCGCTAAAAGTGGACGGTTAGTAGTTGGGCTGGGGAAGTAGGTAGGCCCACGATTTCCCGCCACGTTCAATATGAAAAGCCCTCGCGATCACCGCCGAGCCCCCGCCGATTCTCGCTTTCCACTCTGGTTCGAGAAACACCTCCGAGAGGGTGGCTGACCTACGAGGTGCTCAGCGGACCAGGACAAAGCGTACGCCAGCTCTCTCTCTGTCTCTGTCTCTCTCTCTCTGCGTGAGGAACGGAGCTCTCGCTCGACTCGTCCTTTTCGTATGGCCTTATTGCAGGCATCTTCAATTTTCGGTTTTCAGCGCATTTCATGAAGTTCTTTTGAGACAGTGACATGCGATTTTCTGTCGGTGAATCAAGACGAGTTTGTCTCCAGATTCTTTGTTTAACAAAGTGCTTTGATCTTAGTCGTTTATGTGCCTGCTTAAACGATTAATCCAAATCGAAGAGCGTGATAGAGGTCTGCTGAGTTATCTTCGGAAATCGTTTACTTGTTATGCAGTCAGGTTAGTTCAGGGAAGTCTTCTGTCGGTGAAATCAACTTTGATGATCCGATTTTCTTCGTACCTTGAAGTAGAAGTTGCGTGCTCTGATATAACCTTTGAGTTATAAGTGGGGCGTAGATTAAAAACAGCTCGAAACGGTGTATTTCTGTAGTTTTTGAAAAAGTGGAAGATACGGCGCTGATAATTTTTATGAAACCGGATGATTCACGTCATCGAGATGCATGTCACAGTCATATTGTTCATATAATCTATAACTATCTCTATCTATCTATTATCTACTTATTGGGAGATGTTTTTTACGTCCGTATTTTGTTTCTCCTCTAAACCCCAAAATGATTCAAGATGCTCAGTACTCCTCTTCAGGCTCCTACAGTGCTGGAGTGACGCTTATTATCTACAAATGGCCGAATCACAGAAAGAAGCGTCATCAGCTACTGATCCAAAGAAGAACAGTCTACCTGGTGCCCATTTTCCCCATTTTTTTAAAATTTCCCCCTGTGCGGCAATGATAATGGCATACTTTTCCGCAGTCAAATGAAAAGTAAAATAACCAGACCACATAACTATTTTTCAACCATGGACCCCGGTGCTATGTTACATAACCGTTTTACGGACGAAGCTTAAATTTTTTAATGGTATAAGTTGGATTTATCTTTTTAATGCAGCAGTGGATGCCAAAAATAAAGAGGAACTTATTTTGACCTAATTTTCCAGTATTTGGCCTGTAGTACATCCTAGAAGTAAGTTATATCTCAAGTCGTTATGAAAATCTAGAACATGATCTTACCTCTTTATTGAAACAGAGGACTGCAATGGAAATGATTTTCTTGTCTCGTGGAATTCAGCAGCTGAGGACAAGGATGAGTTGGGCTTTAGTACGGGAGCAGATCCTCGTGAAAGGATGAAATTCTTTGACTTTGGCAAACTGTGAGAAATATATTCTTATCCTTCTTCATGTTAAAAAAAAAAAACAAATTCATTTTTCTTTCGCATCATCCACAAAGGTGGAACACCCTAAAAAGTTGAACTTATGGTTCAATCTTTCCAACTAGAGATGATTTTGAGTTCGATGCTGAATTCGGGAAAGTACCATCATTCAAGTTGGATATGCCTGATTTGGATTTCTCTAGCCCCAAGAAAAGGTCAGCAAAGAGCAAAGAAAGATCAAGAGGAGAAGCTATTTCGGAAAAGCCAGAAAGGAAGGCCAATTTTTCCTTCTCATTTGATTTCAATGAGTACGTAGATCATGAAACTGAAGTCTTGATTTAGTAGAGATTTTTTATCTTGGCAAGATATCATTTATCAAGATGTTCTAGTGTATCTGATGCTAATAAGTTTTGCTTGGATCTCAGGTTGGATTCATTTGATATTGATACGAATCTGATTAAAGAGGAAAATAAACTCAATAAAATTAATGAAAATGAAGGTTCTGATATTTTTGTGAATGAGAGTAAGAACTTTCAAAAGTCAGGGATTGCCAATTGTTTTAATCGTGACGCTTCACTTGGCAGCAAGGTTGAACTTGATACGAGAAATGAGTGGGCCAGTTCTTCTCCAGCAGAACTCGACCAGAGTGGATTGCCAAAAGAGTTATGGGCATCTCCATTGAAGCCAAAAATTAGTTCTAATGGAAGCAACCATGAAACTTATCACCCGGAACAAACACTGATGGTAGGCTCCAAAATCCTAAATGCTGGAAAACTGGTCCAGGAAACTTCTGTCCAATCCAGTGATTTTTTACGGCAATCGGCAAATTTGCAAATTCAAACGGCGAGCCTATCCTCAGTGACAGTTGATGAGCACTGTCAGACAATTGGTTCCTCGTCAGCTACACTTGATGCTAATTCAGATGAACAAAATGATAACAATTGCATGAGATTAGAAGGCAGTTCTCAATCAAAGGCCAATAGCCCCGTCAGAGCACATGATCCACAGTGCTTAACCGCGTTTTCCACGGAAAATTCGCTCAGGGCAGAGAACGTTCCTGAGAAAAATCAGGTGGACAAGAACAGTGTTGGTCAGGAAAGTGTCGTCTTTTGTGAACCACAGAAAATACAGAAAGTCATGGAGGAAAATTCTTTAGCACCTGTCTGCGATAAATTCTCAGTTGGAGGAACGAGTAACAGAGATCAGCGAAACGCGGGTTCAAAACTCCAATTGTCTTTGATTAGGTATGCGAAATCATTCTGGTGGTTCATTTCTGCTTCTCTCAATCGTTCTCATGTACTTTTGTGCAAGGTATTTGTGGTTGGTTACCGCCTGTAACGTTTTTATTTCTGGTAGTGATTAAATACTATCTTCTGACGTTTAACATCTATTCGTTTCTTCTCTTTCTTTCAGAGATTCTAAGTGTGAACAATTCGCAGCAACGAAGGACAACGGAAGCACAAGCTTACAGCTTTTACTTCGAAACAAGACGGAGGCCACTGGACCTAAAGTAAATTCATCAATAACTCCAAAGCAACTATATGCCATCTGTAACAGGAAAATGGAAACTACGAGCACACGTCATTATAACTTGCAAGGGTGAGTTTCTGGTTCGTGTGTAATTTAATTCTCTTTTTATGAATCATAAAGTTTAAAGCATCCTAACTTTCACCGCAGTGAGCACACAGGGCATGGTGAACAAAGTGGAAGCTATGGCGGTGCTTTCAACAGATCGTTTGACCTAAGTATGAAAATTGTCCCTCTTACTGCAAAGAGTGACACAAATCACGAGGACGAGAGCTCCTCACAGTAACAGACTTCTATCTTCATTTTAGATTTCCATATTAGTATCTTGGCACAATCTGGTCCATTATTCTATCATTGATAGATTAATCTGTGAATTTATTTATGATATCTAGTTGTATGACCAACCTAAAACTTGTTGTACTGGACTATAATAAAGCGCATCAAATATACGGTACAAAGAAAAACGTCAGATGAAAATCCCTCTCTCTGAATTGAAAAATATGGAACCCAAATTTTGAATCGCAGCATAGTTAAATGGCTTGTCTTCGGTGAAGATGAAATTTTGTTTTCCACGGAGGAGGAAGATATTTTCCTGATTCACAAAACAGTTTGAGCGCCGTATCTTGAATCGTGACTTTTGATTGTTTGAATGTTTCTATTTAACTTAGTAGAAACTGCCATACTGATACTCAATGTATCTCAGCTATAAATATCGATCTATTGTTGCTCCACTTGTCATTCATCTGACAAGAAATGGATGGTGCTCGAAAGAAAACATGTTTTCTTGGGAATGGGATTCAAAATGCCACTCTCTTAGCTTCCGTGTACGTTCGTCTATCTTATATGAAAAGTTCACATTTTGCTCTCTGGATTACAGTATTCAAAGACCTGTTTCAATCAGTGGACCAGTAAACATCACAAGTGCTGCATCGAGCAGTGATAAGCGGGGAAGTTCTGTAAAAAGATATGATCTTTATAATATGAATATATCAAGGTACCATCATTCTTTCTTTTTTCCTCTGCTTACAGGCTTGACTCAGTGGAAAACATATGTTCACAATCTGATGCTTTGCAATGCAGATATTCAAAGAAGTCAGACGCTGTCATAATCGAAACAAAATCAGAAGTCAATTCAAAAGGAAATAAGGCAGAAACATTAACATCACCTCTTGCATCACACTCTGTCACCTTGGAGAAACGTGTAGTATGGAGCCCATCTCTGAAACGGAAATCAATTGAGGTGAAATCAATCTTTCTTTACCAAAATATTTCTTTTTTAAAGATATTCTCAGTACCGTACCATTTGACCGTTCGGCAATCTCAAAGGATTTGGCATACTTGGCTTGCAAGCTGCCGGTTCTCATTTTCTGTTAGAAATCCCTATAATTCCTCGGTGGCACGGAAATATCGTGTCCCACGGATTAATTACTGCAGCGCTGCTTGACTAAGCGCGGCGTTAATCATTATCGATCAAATTGGCAACTCTTAGCAACTCTTTGCGTTGACAAGTCGTTCGATTGAAGATCTTTGCCTGTCCATTTCTATTAGGAACTGAAGTGAACTTTTCTAGCCACAAGGTGGTGCCCGTTCTTTGATGTTTGTCCTCACAAGACAACTTACTTGACTGCACCACATTTCGGGAATCACAGGTAGACCCGGCAGCTGTAAAGTTCTCAAAGCGCGTTCTACAGTCCCCCAGTGAAGCAAGGTTTCGTCTCCTCGCAACGATGAATTATGTCTCGCGTCTTTTTTTACTCTTATCCCATAGAATGATTACGTTCTTGGGGGATGATTCTGCAGGAAGTTGCTACAAATTTCCCCCATAATTCTTCATGGGCTGACGGTACTCTGGAGAAAGAAAACTCTAATCTCTGTTGGACCGGCAGATCTGGGAGTCTTGCTCGCTTAGTATGAAAAACCTAAAAGAAATTCTAGATTCACGTGGCTGATTCTTATTTATTTTGTGATTTGGTAAGGGCCGACAGAAGGAGACTTCGGGAGGTTCTTACGGTGACGCGGACCTCGACGATCAGAATCGTTCGGTAGACGCTCACCAGGAGAGCAGTGCCATGGACTTTGAAGTTCCTCTCCTAAACGAGAATGATGGGAACATAGAGAAGGCTGAAGCATGTACCAAGGAGCTCGAGAATGTACGCATTCAGACCACCACTTGGCTTATTTTCTTCGAATTAAATGCACCCCCGAGGTATATTCTGGAGCACGGATTCTTTGGCTCTGTAGATCTGCAGCATGCTGAGAAGGAAACACGAGGAGGCGAAGGAGCTACTGGTTCGCGCCATCGTCACCAACAACTCGCTGCTGATGCTGGATCACCCACTCTACGAAGAGAAGATATCCTTCCTGTGCGGCCATCCTGTCGACCCTTTCCCTCGCTGCCATCTTCCCCTCGGAAGCCTGTGCTCCCTTCACCAATTTGCAAACATCCTTGCCCTTCAGAGACTCGCAGGAGCATCGCTCTCGAAGAAGTACGATGCCTGAAAGCTCCACCCTTCAGAGACTCACATGCCAAGTGAGATCGTTCTTCACCCCCTTTTTACGATCACAGAGGCGTCCAATTGTCATCGACGCTCGTCCTTTATGAACCGAAGCAGATAAATCGTTTTTTTTTGGGTCATCGCCATATTTCCAAACACGCCCTAGCCCGGTGGAGGCTCCGGTCCGTGCTGGCACGTGGATCGTTGAACCACGCGAGTCCGATTTCAAAGCAAAAAAAGAAAAGAAAAGAAATCTCCCTCGTCCGCGTCGTACCGGAACATACTTTTCAGATTTTCGTTTTGCCCTGCACGCGCCACTACTGCCCCGCGCGCTCGTCTTCCTTCCCTCCCTCTCTCTCTCCCTCCTTTTTGAGGATTACTCTGCTGTTTTGGGATGTGGAACTCGATTTCGGGTTTGCCTCCTCCCTCTCTAAGTTTCAGGGAGCGGCGAAATTCACATTCGAAGCCTTTCTCCCCCCCGGTTCCCTCGTTCCCTCCCCCCCTCCCTCCGCAGCCAAGCACTACAAATGCCGGCGCCGTTCGCCCATCCCTTCCCCACCTTGCTCTCCCATCCCCAGCAGCCTGCCTATCATGGAGTCCCTCCTCCCCCGCCCCGTCTTTGACAACAAGGAGAATCTGCTCCCTCCTCCAAAGCTGCCCCCCGGTTCCTCTCTGGCCGCCCCCCCAATGAAGATGAAGAACAAGAGGGTCGGGGCGAGGACACCCTTGGAGGACGTCACCCATCTCTTCATTCTGGATCGCCTTCTCCGCCCCGCTGACGACCACCACCACTACTCCTCCATTTCCGCCGAAGGTTGCCGTCGCTGTCGTCGCAAGAGAAGGCCCACTAGGAGCCTTCCTCTTTCCCCTCCGAGGCCTTGCGGCGGCGCGTCGCTGAGGAAGGGCTTCAGATAGCACCGAAGCAACCTCCCCCTCCGTCTTAAGACCCTTCTTCCTCTCCTATTATACGACGAGCCAAGCGGTATCTGTACTGACGAAGAAATAGCTAGATTGTCATGGCAAAGATTGAAGAATACAAGTATCACAATATCATTCATGTGAATTCCGATCATTCGTCTGAATGCTTTCTTTCTTGCTCGATCGAATTCTCTCTGGGTTCGACTTGGAAGGTGCCCATCATGCTTGTCTGTAGGGCGAAGTCCTGCCTCTTCTGTAGGGCGAAGTCGGCCGTTTGATCCTGGTCCGACGGCTACGGAGCAGGTATCCCCGATCCTCTCCCCCTCCCCCTCAAATCTCCCTCCTTGCGGGTGGAAGGGGAGGTCGGAGGAGCAGACCGAGACGCCTCGCCTGATGCTTCGTTTCTCCCTCCCCCCGACGCTTACCGCAGCCGCCTCACCACAGGGCTTGCCTCTCCACCTTGCCGCTGCTGCGTCTCCTCGTCATTCTTCCCGCCATCGCTATCGCTGCCCATCTTCCCCGTGTGCTCTCTCCGCTCTGTCGGGACTCCCTCTCCGGCCCCTCTGGTGCGCCCAGCCGAAGCAGGACTCCGCTCCGGCAGTAGCCGATGATGGCGAGGACGGAGGGCTTGGCGAGGAGCTGCACAAGCTGTTGGCTCTCCTGCCGGAGGGAATGCGAGAGAGGGTGGGTGCTCACCCGGAGCTCCACCAACTCGTTGAGATAGTCATGGACCTGGGCCGAAGGCCCCTCGCCCGTTTCCCTTCCGGCGACTTCGTCCTCTCTGATAATCCGATTACTCTCAACGATCTCCACCATGCCATATCTCAGGTCTGTAAATGTACGAATCGGAATTGAGGAAACCATCTACTCGGCGAGGAGAATTGATTGAAGAGGTGAATCCGATACCCGATGCTTGTAGGTGGGGGACTTCACGGCGGACAACCGGGCGGGTATCAGCCGGACATTGCATCGAATCAGCGCCATCCGGAACCGCAAGGGTGTGATTGTCGGTCTGACTTGCCGGGTCGGACGGGCTGTGGCTGGAAGTGCTAATCTGCTGAGAGATTTGATTGAGGACGGCGCATCCTTGTTGCTCATTGGACCCCCTGGGGTGGGGAAAACTACGATCATTAGGTCGATTCTGCTGCCAACCCCTGGTTACTTGTCTTTAAACGTTGAAAAGTTTATTCCTAATCCTGTACACCAAATGTATCTTGTTGAAGATGCATCTACGGCAAGGATTTTTATAGTCAAAATAAAATTTTGCTGATATCCATATTATGTGGGGTTTCTGGGAAGCAGATTTCGATGATGCCCGAAGTTGATTTTATGATTGTGATTTCTTTTCCTCCACACCTAGAGATGTAGCTCGGATGCTTGCGGATGATTTCGAGAAGCGGGTCATGATTGTGGACACATCGAATGAGATAGGGGGGGATGGTGATGTTCCCCACGCTGGAATTGGGAGTGCGCGAAGAATGCAAGTTCCCAATCCAGATATGCAACATAAGGTCTGCAAATAATTCCTTTCGTATTAGAAATATGTTGATTGGATGGAGAAAGGCTTTCATCAACAACGTGAGCTTATCGCTTCATCTAGTTCAGGCCCAAGCATAGTTAAAACCGATTTCAATCTTTTGATGTGTTCTTTTGCCCCTATGATTTCAGTGTCGATGGGTTCAGTGTCTATTCTCTTTTGCATAAGACATTTTCATTTATTCCCTTGCATGCTTCCGTTTATTTCATCATACAAATCGGCTAATCTGATATGAAAGAGTTTGTTCTATGCGGTATTATTGCACAACTTATCGCGTGTTTTCTTTGCCTAACAACTCTACTTGTAATGTTCAACCTTGATATTCACCGTGACTGTTATTTTCTGTGGGTGCGTTGGTGAGCTTTTGGGATAGAGTTTCAGGCAAGTATGGTATTATAAATGCATGTAACGTCGCTATTGTTTGGGGAACTCTCTGAGGAGAAGAACATCCCATTGGGTGCTGTTATCTGATCCAGGAACCATGTTACTAAATTCCCTTGTTTGCGTACCCAGGTGTTGATTGAGGCAGTGGAGAATCACATGCCCCAAGTGATTGTGATTGATGAAATCGGAACCAGACTTGAAGCCACAGCTGCTAGTACAATTGCACAGCGTGGTATCCAGCTTGTTGCCACTGCACATGGAGGGACAATTGAGAATCTGACAATGAATCCGTCGTTGGAGATGCTTGTTGGAGGAATACAGGTGAGGACTACGAAATGCTGATATCCCTGTCACTGTTTTGCTGAGACCCTGGTGATTTAGAATTTCAGCGAAACTAAGAAAATGATAAGAAATTAAAGCCATGAAACTTTTGTCATACGATTCTAGTTCACTTGCAATATGGGTGCATTGCAGCCTAGTTTTCTTCCCCTGGCTTGGTGTGTTATCTTAAGGGTGATGTGTCCACTGGGCACGAGACTTCTGAATGAATGTTTGCTGACTCACTATCTGTCAGAAAGTGATAAAAGCTGAAAATTTGACGTTGAATATCCGTATATTATAATAACTATGGTTGCATCTTTTTCTGTTTTATGTTTGTAAACATCCCCTCTCCAGGAATAAAGGGCTTGACTAGGCCCTATGGTTGAAGGGAAATGGAGCCAGAGTTGAAAATAGAGTATGAAAAAAAGAGTCAAACATGCATCATGGTTTATGAAATACAATATCAAAGTTCTATCCTGGAGTGTTTACTCTGATTCTCCAATGAAGCTGTAAACATTGAATACTTACTTACCCTTGGATTAATCTCAAGTTCAGACATGTTCAGCATCACAAGTTTGTGTTGTAAGATCTGTGAGGAACATTGTCTTTCTAACCTAAATGACGGCATTTTTTTGTTTTATCCCCTTTTATGTATTTATTTTTTATATTTATTTTAACGAAGTACACAATTGAATATCTACTGATTGTATTCTAAGGGTAGCTCTCATTTGTTCTGATCCATTAAGCAATGTTTGGACTCAATATGGATGTGATTATGGTAATGGATGCAATCTATGGTCGCATTTCTAAGCAGGCATATTAGATGGAAAAATTATACTATTTGGGATGAAGCATTTTCATCTGAACTTGTTCCGTGTAGTTCACCAACTTCCCAGACTCGCCAATGGTTGATGTCGGTTTTCGTCCTTCAATGTCACAATAGTTATCTTTTGAAAAAGAAAGGCACAGGGAATTAGGAAATATCTTAGACAATACGTACACTAGTCACCAGTGATATAGCGTTTCTAGTGACCTTAAATCTTCAAACGGTCAACTTGCATCCATGTGATGTCACACTCTTCTTTGGTTCATTATATGATATATTCTAGCGTCTTAAGTTCTTCCAAAAAGAAGACCATGAAAAAACTTGTATGAAGGGACTTTCTTAGAATGGCAAAACTGTGTGCCATCTTATGCATATATCATGTGCAAATATGAGATACTATTAAGGCTTTTGTAGATCTTCTTCCTGGAACGGTATAGGACGCTGAAACAGGATGATAGCCGAAACTTTTTATATATGCATTGTATGCATGTTGTAATTTGATGAATATTATTATAAGATCATCAAGGGGAGCAAAATTAGTTTACTTATTCGGTATATGTGTACTACTAGAATTTTCGGTTTCCCTTTTACTCATGTTTATTTGAATTAGATCATTCCGTTGTATCTCTTTTCTTGACCTGCTCATTGGATTAGATTAAATTTTTTGCTGTTATTTAAGTACATTTGTACAGCATCTATTTACATTATGCTACTTATAAAAGATTATTTTTATCACGTTACTCAGAGGCTCTGTTGATTGCAATTATTTTTGAGTCATAACTTCACGTGCAAACAAAATCCACTTTAATCTGATCATTGTAACTGACATATATAATCCAGAATGTCACTCTAGGAGATGATGAAGCTAGTAGAAGAGGTGTCCAAAAGACTGTCCTGGAGAGAAAAGGGCCTTCAACGTTTACTTGTGGCGTAGAAATTGTCTCCAAAACTGAGATGAGAGTTCATCATAGTTTGGAGGCAACGGTTGATGCACTACTTTCAGGTTGAGAATTTCAGAAGTCTTTTGTTTTGGATTAATATGATACTGGTGCCTCACGTTCACATAAATTTCTTATATTTGTTGCATTGCTCACAGGCAGAACACCCATGTTTGAAATTCGTAAGCTGAATTCTCACGCTTCGAAAGATGAGAACCTTACACTAGAAAGTGAAGGTTTGAGTGATGTTCCCTCTCAAAACCTCGCTGAAATTATTGTTGAAGACGTGATGGAGAATGATAAAGTAATCTATGACGATAGTTCCTGTGGTATGATGGATGAGCACTCTTTTAAAATGGAGGCATCCATGCGCATGTTTGCATATGGGGTAAGAATTCGAGTACTCTTGGAGCCAAAGTAGTGTAATTTTTCTTATAATGTATTTCATTCTTACGTCGTCGTGCTATTCGCTAACAAGGTCGTGCTGTTTATTCTTACCCTCACTGATACTGCTTGGATTCCTTTTTGCTCCGGCATTGGGCATCTTAGTAGAAAAAGAAGAATATAATAACATAACGGGAATTGCATCTAGCGAGGCTAGCATCGTGGTGGATAAGTCAAATGTCGATTATACATGACCTTAGATGTCCCAGATAGAATGTTATTTTTTATCAGCATTTTTCTTTCAGTTAACTTGCATCCGGATTTGAAGGAAGACATTGTTACTAGTCACAGGCCGCTGTCTAGTCAGTTACGTTGGAGTTCCAACAGACTGTGACTGACTAAAATGATCAAATGAAGTGATCTTCTTCCACCAATTTTCTCTGGTATCTCTAATCTTCAGCCTCCTCTTTTTGGTGGCACATGTGCAGCAAAATAATCTCGACTTCTCATGATTTATTTATTCCTAAGATCCAATTTTGTTCTGAAAATTATTTGATCCTTAGCCTGCCAAGTTCTTCAGCTTTATTGGATGGATTCAATGTCTCCGGTTTGGTCTCCCTTTAAGGCCCCTTTAGTCTATCCATTAAGTGGCTACCATGTTCAAAAATTATGAAACTTGTACTAGTGTAGATTACAGTTAACCAGCACTAATAGTTTTTCTTTTCAGTATGACGTAGTGCCTTCTCTTAGATCATCGGCTCATTTAGATGCTTACAGCGGGAGACACGGGATAGGTGATTGGATCGGCCTAAAATTAGTTTCATACTTGAGTTTTTTTCGCAAACTGGACGTAGGAAAGAAGCTGAACCAAATAGCGGGTTTCTAGGGGCATATAACTATCTCAAATTACTGACTCCATAAGCTTTGTGAAGATTAGACGACTTTCCATGTAATTTGTAGAAGAAATGGAGCTCGAAAATCTCTCAATGCACCCGTCTCTCACTTTGATGTACTCAAATAGCAGTGGGTTAAGGTACTGGAGTTTGCGAGTGTATTGTTCTACTCGAGGAACGTGAATCTGGTAGTGATTATAGGGCATGGTAGTATAGAATTGGTTGAACTCGAGGTACGAGTATCTCATGCTGATTTCGTCAAAGTTGTGGCTTCCTGTCATTCCCCTGTTTAACCTGTTTCCTGGTTACCGAAATTTAAATGTTGAACTGAATAGAGTGTGCAGCTGTTGTAGATCCTGGAGATAAGTGTTGTGCAAGCAATCAAGAAGCTCGGACTGGACGAAGTAGTTCAGCTAACTGATAACATAAGCGAGGCTGATGCATTTCTAGCCCTGCACTCGAAGCTCAAGAAGAACCCGCGGATTCAGGCTGCGGCAAGATCTCAAGGCATACCCATATATGTAACTAAGGTGAATAACAGTAACCCTTGATTGCCATTCTCTGCCCACCAATTCAGACGCCGTAACAATGTGTTTTCGGGTGTTGTTGGCATAGACGAGCTCTTTGCTACAAATAACCAAGGCTCTTCGCGTCATAGTGGCTGAACGTGACAACGAAGCGCAGCACTTTCAGGCCGAAGATGATATGAGCTCAGTGGAAAAAGTCGATGCTCTGGAGGTAAAGTGAGGCGCATCTCTCTACCGAGGCCGTCATACTCTTGCATTCTTTCCTAAATCGTACATTGCAAAGCTTCTTATTTCTCCGCGAGGAATTCGTTTCTTCTTGTACGAGGCTAAAACTCGATCAAATCTTGCCAGGAGGCAAGGCTTGCTATTGAGCAGGTCGTAATTCCAAAGAGGCGCTCTGTGGACCTCCTACCGAGGCCATCCCACATCATTGTGGCCCAGATGGGCTTCATTGGGGAATACAAGCTCTTGTGCGAGAAGGTCGGGCAAGAGCCGAATATTCATTTGCGCATCCTTCCAACGCACACAGAGACCACCAGTTCTTCCGACGGGGATGCAACCGATCCTGGACTGGAGGAATCGGACAGTCCGAGCGATCCTGGCAGCCCTCACAGTAGCGTGGTCAGGCTACCCCTCCTCCCTGAGTAGGCATATTTTCATGAATTAGACATACTCTTAGCTAGTGATTAATGTTCTGATGCGATTGATATTTTTCTCGTACCTGCAGCTGTTGATATCTTTATATATAATCGTGGCCGCCGGTCATACTTGTATAATGTCTGGGTTTCTTTTGGTAGTGGAGAAATTTACGTTGGGCAATTATCTAGACAAGCTCCAGGCAAGTGGGTCATCTTTTTCGCTTATTAAGATCAAGGAAAATCATAACTCAGCCTCGGAACATTGGATGATCAATGATCTTACTATCCGGTGCGTCCCACTGGAGATGTTAATGGGCTAGGTAAGCCTGCGGGCCCCGCTGACAGTTTTTCGGGCTTAGCCCAAAAATCAAACGTAGAACAAAAATAAGGTCTGGCACGATATTTTGCCGAGTTAAATCTGGGCTTCAGTAAAGTTTGTCCTAGAAGCTAGACACCTGCTTTTACTGTCACCTCTCTGTCTATGTCTCTCTCTCTGTCTCTCTCTCTGTCTCTCTCTGTCTCTCTCTGTCTCTCTCTCTCTCTCTCTCTCTCTCTCTCTCTCTCTAAGTTTCATAAAGATCTGGGTAAAGATTAAACTCAGCTTTTTCTAGACTCCTCTCTATTCTTAAGATGGTTTTGGTCTGTCCCTGCCCGTTGCCCACCCCAACCCTTCATCATACCCCCCTGGTGTTGGTACTGTAATTCTGCGTGAACAAGAGAGAGAGAGAGAGAGAGAGAGAGAGAGAGAGGATAGGAACCGGGGAGTTAGCTGATGGTGGGCGGCCTCTCCGGCAACATTCCGGAAGATAGTGGAACGTTGAGGGGACTACAGCGAAGAGATGACCTACAGGAGATAAGACTGTCTATAGACGACAGGGGTGACAGCGATTGACGCCCAGGAACTTTCTTCATAGGATAGATGGATGGGAAAGGGATATTCAAGCGGTCGTTTTCCTTCGCTGACGATTCGCTGCTCGCTGAAAGTTGCAACCCATGTCTGATTTGTAGTGGGTTGTCCCCCCCTCCCCCAGTGTGATGAGTAAGCTCGGGCATGCACCCTCATGCAGATGACATATAATGAGATCAGAACATCGATCAGGGGAGGAAGTGACGACTTGCAGCTGTGTAGATGGAGCTTACTCATCACATGTTCGCTGCTCGGGAGTGGTGGCCATATGGAGCCGAACAAGTGACTGGACATACACTAGATGGTAGGCTTACAGGATATGATGATCTCGGGTCTGTCTCTGTCTGTCTAAGAGAGGTAGAGAGAGAGAGAGAGAGAGAGAGAGAGAGAGAGAGAGAGAGAGAGAGAGAGAGGGGACTCGTGTGAGTTAAAAAATGCCACTTGGGAAGTAAATGGAGCATCTTTGCGCGGAAGCATTGCCTTGTATATCCGGGTGGACCTTCACTAGTGACGTATGGGGTCATAGGATGTGGAAGAAACTACTAGCTCACACGCTGGGTTTCCACTATCTTCGCCCTTCATTTGAAAACAATGAAAATAGGGGCGGTGGCGGAGGGCGGACTTGTCTTTATAAACCTAGCTCCCTCCCAAGCTCCCTCCCAAGCTCCCAAGCTCCCGAGCCGAGAGAGAGAGAGAGAGAGAGGTCCACAGGAGAATGTGGAGCATCAAGCTTAGCGCGCATGTTTTATTGGTCCTGTCGGCGTTCATCGGGAGCGCGGAGCCCCGTATGGTGGTGGGTCGAACCACGGGGCACGAGGAGTTGGTGGATGGACCAGCTGCCGGCGTGGGGGCGGGTCCCCCGCCGTTCGAGGAGGTGTACCGACCCAAGAGGCTGAGCCCAAGCGGACCCGATCCACAGCACCATTCCATAACCCCATTTTCTTGAGATCTTTCCAAGCGAGTTTCGAGGTGCTTCGGCATTTTCTGGTCACCCACTGCTGTTTGGTGCTTAAGGGAATTCGAAATTCTTCTCTCTCCTTTTGTCATTGGTTTTGCATTGACGGGGGATGTTCCTTGTATACAGAGGCGATTGTCATGTTTCCACTTACTTCGGCTGTGATGACGATAAAAGCACCGCGCATTCATCCTTGTCTATGTCCTCGGTCAAGTGGAAGGGCGCGGAGAGAGAGAAAGAGAGAGATCGGTTGCGAAATAGAGGGTAGGAAGGACACATAATAAATCGTTTACGTCTTGTTTTGTAATGGATTCATTCCGGTTTACAAAGACTTCGCCACACATGAATGAAGGGCATCGCTCATTAGTCACCTTACACGAAAACATCATCTGCTTTTGTCTCTTCAGGCTGTCTGTCGGTTGTCCTCATTCATCGGTGCAGCTCGATTTCGAAGAGGGAGATTTACCAAATTAACGAATAAAATAGAGAAGATCCAAAGAGATAATTCTTCGTCATCTTTTTCCGTTATCTTCACCACGTCCTCCTGCCTCCCCTCCATTCGTTCACACTGATTGGACGTATGAGCAGAGTTGCCGCGAAGGAGCAGGGTTACAATTTCGAAATTTTTGAGTCAAAACGTCTGCAGTGAACTCATCAAAACAATAATGAACCAACCTTTAAGTACTTTTGGGACTAGTTACAAAATGACTTCAAATATTTAAATCTTTTGAAAACAAAGTCGTGCTATCTTTTGAAGGAAAATTATAGAAATCGATAGCAACAGAAGTCCAGTAATAGAAGCGCGCCGGGCATTGAAAACGGTGTCGGAGGATCAAGTTGAAAGATCGATATTTCCAAAAGATCTTAATTAGATGGCAGTTTTTCGCCGAAAAAGAAACGTCCATCCTTCAATTGATGACAATAAGATGCCCCTTTATTAGCTCCTTCGAGGAACCTAGAATCTTATCAGGTAATGGATAACATTCCTTCATGCTCCGTAATGCACAAACTCACAAGCATTTGGTACGTTTCTGGGTTGAATTTATTCTCTAAAATTGGCTGACTTTCCTCCAGTCGTCTCTAACGACCTTTGTGCGCCTGTCAAACTCTTCTTTCTGCCCATCAGCACACTCGTAGTTTGCTGTTTCAATTTCAATCAAGGTATGTTAAAGCGAAACAACCTGGAGGGAAGATTGCGATGGGATGGATATGAGCGAGAGTATCTGTGCCAAAGAAGACGGCGTTGCGTTGGTGTCCTTTGGCAACCACTATGGGTCAGTTTGTTCGAAAAGGACTGACGGGCCGCACCAACTGGCCATAGAATTCGGTGTTTCTATGGGACATTGGAACCAGCCTGGAGAGGTGGAGGGTGCTTCCTGTGGCAACGCCATCAATGCGAGGCGAAATTACGATGTCGATAACCCCTCCACATCATCAGATAAGATTACAGGAAGTTGATCTGAACGATCTGAATCGTCCGAGATTGGTGTCTTAACCTCGTCGCGTGCAGTATGGGCATTTCAAAAGGAATACCGCCGCCGCCGCATTGGATGTGCCTGAATGGCCCGCGACCCCGCGCCTTATGTATAGAACATTCCACTAACCCAAGGATAGTCCTGGGATATAAATAGATGTCACTTGCCCTATCCACTGACCCAAGTCCTACTCATCTCAATGTTAGTTGTCGTAGGGGCCCTCCCTCCCATTGAGCACGGGTGATGTTCTTGCTAGCAAACCTTCCCCTTGCTCCTGATGGATTCAAGGATGCCCCGAAACGTGGGCATTCAGACTATATTTATGGGAATGTGCTCTGATATGGGAGCTCGGAGTCAATGAGGAAGGAGTTGCTGTTGACATGAGGCACTAGGGGAGTATGGCCGAGGGGGACACGAAGAGATTGGCACCAGAAAGGCCAATCCAGTACCATTCCGTCCCCGGAGGCGGCGACCTACCGTAGGTGTGGTCTCCAGGGGCCTTGAAGAGTCAGCGTGCTGCACGGGAGGCTCCCGATGCTGTTCAACTAACGACCTGTCTCTGGCCTCTGCACTGTATGTTCTTGGATCCGAAGGAACAGCCAGCGGAAGCGCTATCCCACGAACGCCCTCCCGTGTTGAAATACCGGAATTAATGACATACCCTCATCACTGTGTCAAACGTCGCTCGACATACCAAACACAATCTACATTCTTCTCCTCATTTATTGGATCGGGATGAGCATCTATAACAACATTCACGTTGACCTCTTTTTCCCAGTGTGAACTCAACTTAAATTCGCGGGAATGTGAAATCTGAAACGAGAGTTCTTCGCCTATTTCAGGAGATCTTAAGTTCTAGAGAAAGAACTAAATAATTGCCCCTCAGGTGTGATATCGGGGTCTATGTAACCTGCCTTTAACTTATTGTTTCCACCGTTCTCTGTATCAAGAACTCGCTTCCTCACCATCCATTCTGCCTTCTTCAATCGACATTCGTGTGTAACCTAGAGGAAGGGTATTCAAGCATCGCTTAATGTAGCGTTCGTATGGCGTCTTCCATTAATTGGGCACAGTTCTTTCCTCTTTCCTTCATCGTTCCAGTAAAGACATCCAACTCAAACTACGATCATATGCCAACGATTTTGTATGAATCTAACCGCTGAACCAGAAAGATCCGATATCTACCCTCTCATAACTACTTTTACAAGGAAAATAGTCGTATACGTTGGGATCGATTGTTGGTTCAGGAGCCTTAGCGTGGCTACACATTTCGCCAACTATTATAATCTCGGCAGCATTCGGTCCTTGTAAAATGGTATTTAAAAGAGAATACCCATCCACTAAGGTGTGTAGTAGAAGTAACATTGATTTCTTACGTTTTCCCCTTACTGAAGTTTATTGGCTCTCTGGCGGTCGGTACGTGAAGGAAGTTAAAATTAAATGACCAATAATGAAGGAGCATGGGGCTAGTTATGCCGGTGTGCATAGCGCTCAATCTCGTCAGCATAGAGTTACTTAATATTCCGCTTTCATTGAGCGAATTTTAAATGATTAATCAACTGGACTAAATGTGGTTGGAAAGATCTTATCTAATGACCCTAACATAGCGATGCATCAGAGCGGTGTTGCATCCTTCAACATTGATTCCCTTTCGCCAATTTCTTACTGCTCCCGAGGAAGTACGCTTTGCCACACACATGCATCATTTCGAAGCGGATTGGACCGTGGATTAGTGGGAAGAAAATGGCGCCGATCGTGGCCTTACAGATGCTAACTGATGACTAGACATTCACTGGACATAGTTCCACGCAGATGACTTCTTATTGGTCACCCTCTCTCCCCTCCCTCCCCCCCCCCACAACAGTGAGCAGGTCTTTTTTTGCGCCTGTGTTCATGAGAGAGAAAGAGAGGTTTGCGGTTTCTTTGTTAGGACGGAGAGTGGAGAAGGGGAACGAACAGCTAAGCCGCACGTTGGACGCTTCCACTACCTATGCATTGGTTTTAAAAGAGGAGGAAAGATAAGAAGGATGACGCCCTCATGATTAGATGTTAGTTACGGAAGGCCAAGGAGTAAAGCCTTCCGACAGGATATTGAAGAACTGATCGTCGGGCCACATGGGATATCATAAAAGTGCAGAATATGATGCGGGAGCATTTGCAGTACGCAAGGGGGGCGGGGGAGTAAGCCTGTGCTGGAAGAAAATCGCCGATGCCGCGTTGGATCTGCCGCATCACGCCTTTCCGAGACGACTTTCCATTACTTTCACAGGCTGATCAAGGAGTGTCCCCTATATAATGTACACATTTTCACTCTCGGTACGTCGTCATCATCCAGCTGGTTCCTCCTCTCTCAAATATTGAGCTGTCATGGCGGGTAGAAATCTTGAAGCTGCATTGATTATCTTCTTGCTCGTGACCCTGCCGTTGCGTGGTGAGAGTTCCAGAGTACCCCTGCTGCGCAGCCAGATGAAGATTAATAATCAGGCTGAACGTCGAGAGGGGAGGTTGGAGTTGCTGAGGAAAGAACTGTGGGGAACTTGGAGGAACAGGGTCATGGCGGGAGAGGATTACAAGAGAATGGTACCCGGTGGTCCCGATCCGCAGCATCACTCGTCCCCCGAGGCGGCACACTAAACTGCCGCATTAGGCGCTTATGGTATGTAGGAGTTCTACTGATGAGATGCCCGTGTTTGTTTTCCCTTCTGTGCTGGGAGGCCGCGCGCAACACAGGCTATCGTGGCGAGCGGCTTCAACCTGATGTTGTTTAGTTTTCTCCCTCTCCAGTTGTTCTCTATATTGTCTCCCTCGCAGGAAACGGATTCTTCGGCCGTATAATTTTTCTGTGGCTTGGTTCTGCATTCTGGTCTGCAGTCTGTCGTGTGGCCGAGCATCAAGATTTTGGAATTTAGCATTAACTCTTCCCCCCTTTACGTATTTTTCTTCCCCCCCAATATCTCTTATAATTTAGAAGGAAACAGATTTAGGTTTCACATGGTAAGAAATTATTGGAACTTCGTCAACAATTTGTCAAGTCCGCTGCTTATCCTCGAAATAAGCATAACCAGCTCATCCTCGAAATTACAGGCTTTCTAGTCCACGAGCATTAGTCGGCGGACATCACTCCTATCCAACTAGAAGAGAAGTTTGTCGGCTACAGATACAAAAAGATGCAAAAGAATGTATTTATGAATATGGTCGATTAAAAAGAAGCTAATAAAAAGGACTCGAGGAGGCTAAGCTTACGGGTTTCAGTCGGCAAAAGGACGTTGACTAGCTTATAGCCTTCCGCATTTGTAAGTTATCAGCGAAAACTCCAGTAAAACTAAATTTAAATTTTTTCCGTATTTATTTCATCAACACTAAATACGGAGGAAAAGGATGTTTCGGGCTCAGATAGTCAAACCGCAGAGTAGAACGTTAGAAATATGTTCCAGTGAAAAGCCTGGTTTTGATGAAATGTCATCAATCTGCCGCCTCCATGAGTTGAATCCAATAAACTCCAATAAGTTGAAACGTTTCTCATCTCCATTCGGATGTGAAGACCTGAGGACAATTATTAATAGCATATAAGATTAATTCTTGATGATGAGCATTATTGCCTTGTTTCTATGTCTATGCCCAACCCTAGTCCGTCCACATCACTTCTCTCCAAATTGTCGTGGCAAGCAAAGCTTTTGGACATTCTCGTCCAAGTAAGCTATACTCCCGCTGACGGCATCCACTAAGAAGTATTGGAACAAAGGGATTAGTGAAGTAGGAGGGGTCATGAAGTACGGAGTGGGATGCGGCAACGAAGAGGACATTCATGCGTCGACTTCCTTTTGTTATTGGTGGCAAACCGAAAAAATGTATTGTCGAGACAGCCATGCCCTCCTCATCTCGTTTCCTCTGCTACTGAAAATTTAAACAGTATCCGCGATCAGTCAGGAGAGAAACGATCATTTTACTTATTTATCATCCGAAAGAATGATCACCTGAAGTTACGGAAACGTCGATAGGTTGATCACCCGAAAGAATCGAATCATTTGTTCTATCTTCATCTTTGGTTGTCCTCACGAGTCCTACTTTACGGAACAGAAAGTTTATAATTGTGGCTCCCTTTCTCGCAATATAATATTCATTAAGGTCGACAATGTATTATCCGTGCAGTGAGAATCCAGCTGAGATCAAAATTGCACCCCTGGAACGTCGCCGTCCAATGGGCCGCCGACAATTTTCAGCCGGGAACGGCCGCAGCACGTATCCTCTCCACTGTGTGCAGCGAATCGGCAGCGTTTGCAAGGGCCTAAATCATCTCTGCTTTCGAATTTATCGATCTTGTCCAGTGGAAGGAGAAGAGAACGGGGAGCCGCCTGGAAAGAAGTGGTTGGGGAGCGTCGTCGCCGGTTGTATCTGAATAGATAAACAGACCGCACTGGATTGTTCAAGCGCTGAAAGATTCCCACTTTGAAAATCGATGTCTTGACGTAGCTACAATCTGCGGTGTTTCATCCTCGACACAGCCAGAAGATTCTTGGTTGGTGGTCATACGTGGCAGCGTTGCGATGCCAGCAGTCGATGACGATCTTATCATCAAATAGGAATTTGCTGACTCCGACGACAAGCTTCGGTCTTGACGACCAAGTCACGAGGACGCAAGTGGGTGTAACTTTGCTGTCGGCCGACGTAATGTCCACCGACGGCGTCCAGAAAGTGCAGGGCGACGTACGGCGCAGCGCCGCATGCAGAAGATAATGCCTAAGACGGTGCCAGGTGGGCCCTGCTGCACTACTATTCCACCACCGGAGACGCTGGTCATTCTAGGGAGATACCCAATCACGGGACAAGATAAAATAGCCAATCATCGGTGACGTTGAAATACTGTTTGAGTCGTAGGCGTTGTATGATTAAATCATCGGTAGAGTGCCCCATATATTTTAGTCACAGGATTTCATTTTTTTATGTGAGATTAATTTGATTTATCTTGATGCGTTCCGCCTTGAAAAAACAATGTGCAGGTCAACAGCAGACTCATTGGCTGTGATGTTATTGTAGGGAGTTGCGTCGTCAATCCCAAAAATCTGTGAGTGGAGTACATTCATGTAATTGACCTCCGAGTCTTGTCCATTTCTTCTAACATAAAATTGTCAGAGAAGTCAAAATTTAATCTCACCACCTTGTATGGCGGTGGCAAACCGGTTTGAACTGATCAAATTCTTCGACATTACTTTCACTCGGCACTCATGCACCGGATTTGTGGGCAAATTTTACCTGGTGTTTTATGTTTCGCAGTTCTTTCCCATCATTTACGGTATCCGAAAGGGAAAATCTCTTAGATCATAATTGTATCGAAAGGTTGAGCACACCCGCGAAGCTCCACTTTCCGGGCACGTATGACAGTGGCGCAGGCGTGGCACAGCCCTCAAACTCATATCAACCTACTCGCCCTGGGGCGGCTCTCCCGTCGGACGCCGTAGTCCACAGATTGCATGCTTTTTGTGCACTGTGGACTGCGGCGCAGCGACTCGTGCAGAAGATGATTGTGGGGCCAGGATGACAAAAAAGCCAGTGCAAATCGGATACTGCTGCCTATGAATTAGGTTACCCATATAAGCAGTCGCCACATGCCTCGTCCGCAGAGATGAACAAGTGGATAGGAGCCCACAGCGATGGCGGAAAATGGCTGTGGTCAAACTTAAAGGTGAATGGTTACTACGCTTGCTCGCGAGCTTAGTCACATAATTTGTTGTAGGTCACGGCCGACACTGGGCGAAACTTTGGAGCGTACCGGGAGACGGACTTGGGCCGCGTGGGAAGTGCGGGAAGGGGCGAAGCTGCCGTCGGCTCGTGGGATCCGGGCACACGCCTTAATGATCTTCCTATAGGAGCCTGGATGGCCATCAGCCATCCCCGGCACCGCCACCGCCACCGCTCGGTGGCACTTCACGAGAACCGACCTTCATCTCACAACCTCCTTTCCATTCTTAGCCTCGCCCATCGGCACGCGTTTTCACGGGGTGCTCAACCTGTGTTCTTCATCCATGACACTTACGAAGGAACAGACTGGACTACTGAAATATCGGAGAAAACGCGATGTAGAAGTGGAGTACGTGGGATTTCCCACCGGGAGAAGGGAACTAGGGTTGGAGGGTTTGCTGAGCATGTGGGATGGGGTCATATGCCGTCTGTTTCTCAAACCATGCAGCCGGGTTTAACAGAGCGAGAATAGCCATATTGCATCACAATCAAACCGAATTACATGAACATAGTCCCTGGCAACACTACGCATAACGTACGAACGCGACGAGAGGGTGTCTCCTGCTCTCTACGAGAAGTCAACGCGTTCATCCGCAGGACTACCCATCCGCGTGCCGGGTGGCCCTAGTGGTCAAAGGATTTTAGAGGGTCGTGGGGGTCGATCTGCGTGAGGAGGGGGAGATCCGCCGGCAGGATTTCAGGAGACACCCCGTGGTGGCGAATGATCTCTACCAAGTTCTCGAAAACGATCTTGTTGCCGTCAGGTGTAAGGTGAAGCCCGTCTCTACAATCACATCCGCCCAAAAACATTAAAAAAAAACATCAAAGTCACCTGAACGGAAGAAAATGTAGTTCTGATGCGCAGATGGAGATTTCTTTAACAGGCCATTTGGTTGTGAGAGTAACTCGAGTCTAAGAAACATGGAGGGGACAGCATCCAGCGCTTTTTGTATGATTTCTTACGTGCAGTTTGCACAGTGGAAGGAAAACTTATAGGAAATACCAATGTTGGCACGTATGGATCAACGCAAGCAGAAACAAAAGTGAAGAACTCAATAAAGCCACAATTCATGATAGATGATGATGATGAGAAAAGAAAGGAAAGACTCGGAGTGCGCGCATAGTTTTCCGCCAATATGACGAGGGAAAGAAAATAAGATTTTTTTCTTTCTTTTCCTCCACAGACAGGCGATGCTAAATAGGATGCAACGAAATCACATGTATTTACAGGCTTAAGAATTAAACATAGATAGAAAGAGAGAGAGAGCACCTGAGAAAAGCTTTCTCCCAACCGAGGATCTCTTGCATTTTAGACCAGAGGTCGACCACAGGAGTATTCAGTTCCATGGCAACGGAAACACAGGATTTGGCATATGCACCAGCAGCCTCGTTTGTTCTTTCCGGCAAACCAGAAGGATTCTCGCCGTAAGGATGCCTGCATAAGCAATATATTTCATATATGGATGATTCCTATTCACAAAATCAATTGAAATTTTCGGGAGATAGAACCCATGATTTTTGAGGAAGACTGGAAACATTGTATGATGATCATAAATTGAATATCATATATGACCTAGGCTTGCTTCCTTCGTCCAGTCATTCAACTCGCCACACTGCTCATTAAATCAGTTACCGTGTAAAAGTCATTAAAAGTAAAGAGATACAAACCATCTAACATCAACTTATAGAGGATTTTTACCGTTTTAAACGACCAATCCAGGTCCACCGGATACATTAAAAAATATATCTTGCAAACCCATCATAGATACTAAGAGCTAGATTCCTCGGGCTGTTGACAAAAGGCCATGCTTCCACATGAAAACGTCTGCTTGTCACATATTTAATGCCAAAGAACAGTGAAAAAGTATCAACCAATGAAAAAGTATAACCCTCACAGCTGTTCGAGCACAACATGCCCAATGATTGATGCGGGTACTGTTATCGGTAAGATGCTTCACAGCGGATCCTGACACAAGCTCTATTTCTTGAGAGAATCCTAAAACAATATCCCTTTAAATTAGCACAACACGGGGAACGCAAGGACACCTTAGCTGGGCTCTTCGCACCATGTGAACAACAGATTGGTCAAGGATTTGCTAGGTCTCCCACATCCTTATTTTTAACCTACACGGTCTGTGGAACTATGCTCCCTGTAATCCTTCGCCAAAACATTGATTCTAATCTGCTGTGAATCTGCACGGAAAATTTGTTGGAAGTAGATATCTAATTGCGTAATAAGAGTCTCTTATGATTCACTGACCACCAAATTGATGCTTAAAAGCACACGACCGTCCCAAACTAAGTTACAGGGAAACTTTGCGGCACAAGGCTCATGCAAAACCATTCTGGTTAATCATGCAGGGCAATCCAAAAATCAATATAGAATATGGTAAGAACAACGAAGGTGCAAACTTTCCCAGTTCTTTTGAGAATGGTTGCCTCAGGGTGACGATCTACGTTTGCACCGTACTAGGAAATCTTGACGGTCTCTTCTGCCAAGAGTCGTCCGCTGGAATAAACGCAATCCAATTTTTCGCCTCATGAAAGGAAAATGGGCATCCCTGTGGAGACAAAGTTTTGATCTGGGTTGATAGATCTCGAGTTTTTAATCTTATGGAACCCCAACCCAACCCGAGTCACTATAATGGCTGGTCAGATACTCTCCTATTCGTGCTCTAATGGAAGCTCGGCACCGTTATTAACAACTCCACTGATTGTATGAAAAACAATGCAGACCATGGATTTCCATCTAGATCATCAGAACAAATGGGAGTCCTCATTCCAAAATGTGGCCGAAAAACAGGAGCTGTATGTTCGGATAGGTGTGAGTTCTCTCTCAGAAATATACCTAGTTTCCCGGTTTCCTTCAAGTACGAAAGCATAAGTACGTCCACATCAAGAAACAAAGCGTAAAGGAGAAACAGGTTGTCATAAAATGAAGATCAATAAATAGATACACGAGAAATAAATAGTAATGCAATGGGGAACAATAAATGAACATAGACCAGAACAAGGAAAAGTAAACGGGAATAACGGCTGATAACCTGAGACGACCATCTTCATCGATAGGAGGTGGCGTTATTAGTATAACCAGCGTGTTGGGCCATCGTTTCTGTATCAAACACAGTAAGAAGCTCTGAGTATTTATTACGTGGGTCCATGCTCTCCAACCCAAATAGGTACCCAGTTCCTCCTAACTTAAAAACCGACTTAGTTAATAATATATAAATGATTATTCTACGCTAGATAACGTCAAATAACACTGCATCGAGCCACATAATGCCATTGTCCAGACAGAAATTGTAGTCCGGTGGCCTGGTTGGAGCTGTTACAGCAATGACCTGCTATAACCGAGTCCACGGTCTTCTCTCCCTGGCTACAAGACCCAGCCGAGGGTATCAGAGACAATGGAATGCAGAGGTTTGTTTGGCCATGAATGAAGGAACGCTTCAAGCAGATATCACCCGTGAAGGGCGTTCGATATTGAATGAACTCCTATGATCTTTCCCTTTCAGCTTCTGGAGTCGCTACTCAAAGCCTTATACATCACATTATTCGCAACAGAAGCAGCAAGTATTTACTCCCGTTCATACGCAGCCCATCACGAGTGCTTCTTCACTGCATTCCACGAGGGCTAACATGGCAGTAATGATTCCGTGACTAAAATTCATCAAAGGTAAAGGCTTTCCTCCTCTAATGTTACGATCGAAGCATCCATGAGGACAAGCCACTGGATCTCAGAGGGCCTGAAGTGTGTAAGCGTCTTGCCACGGGCACGTAATTACCTTGAGGAAGGAGATAATGGCATGGAGATTGAGCTGGTACTCGGGGAGCGGCACGTGCTGGAAAGCACTGCTCCGATCAGGAAGGCAGGCATCGTTGGCTCCGAAGAAGACAGTCACCGCCAGTGGAGCTAGTTCCCTGCCCCCGTCGTCGGCGCAGCCATCAGCCGCAGTGTTGCGGATTCCATAGTTGTTCTCACCGACCAGGCCCTCAAAGGCTCGCTCCACGACCTTTCGCGCCCACCGCGTGTTGTACCCACTGTAACCCCGCAGTACCACGTCCGCCTATTTTCAAGGAAACACATAAGTAGAGAGATAGAGAGAGGGCGAGAGAAAGACAGTGAGGGGAGGTTCATCGGCTTCACCGTGCGGGAGAAGTAGTTAGCTAAGGCGGCGCCCCAGCCGCCCTCACCGAACGACTCTTCCGTAATGGAGTCCCCGAAGACGATCACCTTCGGACGCATCTTCTTCGGCGAGAAAACTAGTATGGAAGGGATTGGTCTACCGGCTTATGAGTTCTTGGGTTTCTCTTTCCCTCGCTATATCTCCTGTGTCATTCCTTCTTGCTCGCGCTTCTGGCGCTCTCTCCCAGACGCAGTAGGCGTCCCCTATAGTACATGTCGGAGAGGTCCTACTATTATTTATACGAGGTGCGCGACAGGAGAGAGGGGGAGAGAGAGAGAGAGAGAAAGAAAAAACGAGGCGCTTGGTGAATAGAGTTTCCGGGCGGTCGCGGTGTCCTCTCTGGTCACCCGTATTATTTTCCACTAGAAGCATCCGACAGGTCGGTCTTTGGGAGCTTCCCTTCTATCTTTCTGATTTCTCCGTCGTTGCCCCGGGATCGAAAGAACAGATGGCACCGGACATCCATGGGGAGATACCGCTGTAGTCGTCTCACTGTCCCGAGTGGAATCCCCGAGGATCGGCAGAAAAAACTACGAAAAACATTTCTTCCCGTGCTCTTCTACCCCTCCTTTCCCAAACGTATGCCTGTTTTACGTGCCGGGGAACGGCAACAGTAAAATAGAAAAGATTATCGTCACGCAAACGCCTTAAGGACGCCTCCTCGCCGCCATGTTTTCATGTGGAGTCGCATGTTTGTGCTCGCCGTTATGGTAGGCCCATGGAGCCATGCCTCGGATTGCGACGTCTTACAACCTCTTTCAATAGAAAGGTCACGTCAGAGCTCTGCTCGTCCTCTCGGCACGAGCTGGGCAGAGCGTCCGTGGAACCGGAAGAATGGTCCAGAGTCAGACCGGAAGAGCAAAGATGGGATCCCCCCCCCCCCCCCCGGCTCGTGCCGAGAGTCCATGCCGTGAAAGAGGGCAATAGTGACGACAAAGCCATCATCCTCCCCTCTCCCGGGCTTCTCGATGCGCGCTACGAAGACAAGACACAGAGAAACAAAAAAGACGAAAGGAAAGAGCAGATAGAAAAAAGGGGCGGTCCAGGCTCGTGTTCCGTCGGAACAACCTCCCTTTCAAAACACTCTCCAAACCTTCGCCACCCATGTCGGTCATCACCGGCCAACAACGACGGACGTAGTGGGGAGGCACCACCGACGGGTCAAATGATAGGTGCAGCAGGGGAAGGCTCTCGGATAGTACAGATCACGTGGGCCGAGAAGATCACATTCAATGTTTGGATGTGGTAGTTATCGGGAGTTATGGTCACTGCTGGGCTGTCGGATGGCCTCCTCCAATGTTCGCCATTGAATGCAAGGGGCATAAATGCTGCAGCTCGGCAGTCTGGCCCAGCGATGGACGTCCTGTCGGTGTTGCCTGGGGAGCGGCGCCGCTGAGCAGCCGGGCACGACGGCGTCCAGGCTCTCGTACCGCAGCGGCTAAGCCAAACAGAGGCCCAGCCACTGGCCGGCAATATCTGTTCTAATGGTGGGGGCCTGGCCGCCGCAGGGGACGAGGGTCCCCATACTCTCTGCAAAAACGCAAGAAGCTAGTCGTCCAGAGCGAGGCCTCGCGGTCGGCGGCGGCCGGTGCTCTGGGAAGGATCACGTCGGAGATCCGGAACGCTTCCTTTCTTCACGAACAACTCTGATTCCTCCGAGATTATTCTTTTACCGGCGTGTCGTGTCGTGTCGAAACCCGGACACTCAGAAAGAAATGCTTGGCCATTCTTTGTTTTGGCCCTCCCTGGCAAGCCGTTTGGATTGAGAGAGGAAGGTAGGTTCAGCTGTCAAGAGGGGTCGTATCAGAAGTGCACCGATATGGCGGGAAGTAACGTTGTTCCTAACAAGCCCTTTAAAAGTCAAACATCTCCAAATATCCATTAGTTCGGTCGGTCGGGATCCTTTTTTTTTTGTTTAAGTCTAATTTTGAAACCTATTATAATAAAAAACAATGCGAATCGTATTGATGGGTAATAACTATGATGATTCCTCTTTGAGAACCACTGAAGCAACGGTTTTGGGATACTAGACATTACCATTGCGTATAAAACTGGTCTCTACTTTCAATGCCACCCACCCAAGGCCATTTTCGCCTCGTCATTAATTAATAAATATGGTTTTTGAATTTATGGGTTGCAAAAATAATCTGTTTTTTTTAAAATAAATAACTCTGTCAACCATATGGGATACTTAAAAAATTTATAAGGAATTAAGCAATCTATATTGTACAACTTTTAGAATAAAATGTGGGGACGAAAATGCCCAATATTCCATGGTTGTCTACTGTGTTCCATTTGGTCCCACGAAATGATGAAAATGGGAATTAATGCTTTCTTACCGTACGAATTAATGTGGCATGTAGTAAATGTGTTGAAGCGCAATTTACAGAGAAATCATCGACGTTTAATCCATAAATGGGACGTTTTTATAAGAATCTGGAATTAAAAATATCTAAGTCAATGCCGAGGCCTAGCAAAATTTTTACAGGATGCCGTCGATCATCTGGGTCGGACGGGTTTCCTGGACTGATGTCTTGCATCCTTAGCCATTCTGGGCTCTGAATCTCTGAGGTCCGCAAAGGCGGTGTCTGGATAGCGGTCACCGGAGCGGCCCTTTCTCTCCCGTCTTGCGATATCTCCCGCCGCCGATATCCCGAAGGCAGGGGGCAACGATCGTCGGACAACTCCCCTGATGTTCCGGTCTCTGCATTTGAACTTTTCCCTCCCGCTCTCTGTTCCCCTGCCGCGCGCCACTCGGTGGCGCCGGCTATCCCCGGTGGAGCACTTGGGCGGGGCCGTCGCACGCCTGTCTGCGTCTCCCTCCTCTGCTGCCGCCGAGGCCGTCCCACGGCCGTGGTCAGGGCTTACGAATTGGAGGGAGAGCCCCATCAACGAAAACTTGATATGGGGGCCCGATGGTCCCCAAAAATCCTCCACAGCTCCTCCACTGTGGGGCGTTGGGGGGGAAGACCCAGATGTGGATGTCGTCTCTTCGTTGGCGGGGTTTGCGGCGCTTGTGCTCCGCACCTCCGATCCACTAGAGAAGGTCAGGATTTCTCATCTTGCGTTTGGGCGGTGGCTCGGTGGGGATCTTCCGGTAGGCGAGTTCCGGGCGCCAGATCGTCCAGCCCGACCGATGAAGCCGGTCTTGGTATGCTTTCCCCCGTTTTCTTGGTTGGGAAAATTCGTCGATCAGTTTAGTGGCCTTCTCTCGCTGCGAGGATCCAGTTTTATGTACTGTTTGTACTGTTTGGGGGGGGAGCGAGTTTCAGGTCTCGATGAGGGATGTGCCAGCGCCGAAGAACTCGGGTCTGCCGCTCAATGCGTACATGATTCACAACTTGGCGCACGTAGAGCTGAATGCTGTGGACCTCGCCTGGGATACAGTAGTTCGTTTCTCTCCACAGCGAGACGTGCTCGGAGATCAGTTTTTCTCTGATTTCGCGCATGTTGCTGATGAGGAATGTCGGCATTTCTCTTGGTGCTCCCAGAGGCTGGCTGAACTGGGCTTCAGGTACCGATTAGTCGTTTCGCCACAGGGCATCCTTTCATGAACTTGCATTTCTTGCTCTCAAGAAGCATTGCCGCATTTATTTTACGTTTCTTAAGGATCATCCGTGTCTTCTCATTACAAAGAATTATGCGATTCCCTTTCCTCCGTCTCGCGGAAAGCTCTTGCCTGTTTATCACTTGAGCCGAGCTCTGATGGAAAATCTTCTCTTTGCTTGAACAGCACATATCTTGGATTCCCATGCCCTGGGATGAAATTGAAAATGAAAATTTAGGCCACTCATTTCATTGGATGATGGCAAAGTTTTTTAGGAACATGCGTATATTTTTATGCATATAATTTCTCTGTTAAGGCAATACAAAGAGATTTCACTGTAATGCATATCGCTGAATTCTATTACCAATAATAAGTAATGCTTATAAGATGATCGATATTCACAGTTACAAGCAACATTTCGACTCAATGAGGAAACATAAGAACATGGAGGCGACGACCTACTGATGCTAGAACCTTGTTAGAATCATGTTATCTATCATAGATTAGAACCTTTATACGAAGTTTGTGGTTTCCTCATCTGTCGAAATCTTGTTCTTGAGATTGACAAATTCATGTGTATTTTTTCCGGGTCGTCATATTGGGTTCTTCTTTCTTGTCAGTCAGTCTCTAAGAACTTTATCTTGCCTTCCTCCTTGCTAAATGTCTTTGAACTTGATGTTAGCATCATTACAAAGAGGACCAGTGCCTTCCTTGAAATGCACTTTGAAATTCAGACTCAGGATTGTCATCAGGGCATTCTATTATTGATGCAGCGTTGGAGGATTTGGATCTGTCGTGGAGACTTCATAAGATTGACTAGTATTAAATATTTTTTCTTGTAAATAATTTTAATTTTTTTTATCGTAGACACTGTCACTTGATATGACTCCTACTGTAACATAGCTCGAAAACAATCCCTGCCTCCTGCTCACTTCATAGTGTATTATTACAGAAATTATTATCTGCTTACAGAGAACATTCTGATCTGGTGACACGATTTTTCTATCTAATATCGTGAGTTGTCTTCATTTATTACCATCAGATTGATAATTTCCTTCATATAAATTCTAACCGTCCGAAAACTGGGGTTCCCCCTTGGCGCCCCATTTGTAGGTACGGGGATATGCCTGCGCATGACCTTCTGTGGAGCGAATGTGAGAGGTCATCTCATAACGTTGGTTCTCGTTTGGCAGTGATTCCCCTTGTCCAGGTAGTTCCGTCTTTCAATTTCCAACATCTATAGCTTTCCCCTGAAGGGAAATGAAGGGCGGGTTCAAAGAATTATCAGTCTTTGAGCATTATTCTTCTTGGTGAGTTCAAACTTTTCTCCTATTTTATGATGAGTTGCTTGTGGAAACTCCTCATTCTCAGGAGGCTCGGGGGTTGGACGCTGGGCCCAGGCTGGTCCAGAAGTTGATGGGCTTTGGAGACCATAGATCTGCAAGACTTGTGGAAAAGATCGCAGAGGAGGAAGTAGCTCATGTCGCAGTAGGGTTATACTGGTTTCTTGCAGTGTGTGAAGAAATGGGTCGCCCGCCCTCTGCTGCGTTTAAGGGTTCCCTTCCTGAAGTCGAATAAATGCTTTATCTAATGTTTTATCCCTTCTGGGTTTATTTATTTATATATTTATCTGTCTTCCCGGTTTGCTGTTCTTCAGACTTGTTGAATGAACTGGGTGTGGAACCAAAGGGGCCATTCAACTATTTAGCCCGGGACGAAGCCGGCATTCCTCGTGAATGGTACCGAAGTTGATGATCGTGAGTCAGCTTAGTATTTCCGTTTGGCAGTTGGCTCACGACTCTGTTCTTTCCAAATCCAGGTATGAATTGTCCTCTGCTTCTGGGAGAAGAGCCGATCTTTCTCAGGTAGGTTTAGCGTATGCCCCCATGAGGTTCCCAAAAGACTGTGCCCTTCAGTTCACATTATTAACTGAAGTTATTCGGGGACCTATTTTCTCAGGTCCATGACAGGCTTTCCCGCATTGTTGCCATGGAGAAGGAAAACTCAAGATTGGAGAGCTCGTCCCGGGAAAGGTCTTGTGATACAGCAGACGGGAGCTCATGAGGGGGCACGCCGGAATGTCCCCCACGATGGAAGATTGCTTCATGATCGTTGTAATTACCCAGTTGAATGAGATGTAGTTATGTTTCCGCATATGGAGATTTATCCAGTTTATAGCAGCGCATCGAGAAAAAATTGCGTTTATTTGGTTTGTGAAAATTATTTTCTCGACGGAATATCAGTGAAAGTTTACCTGTTTATATCTTTTCATAGACTGATGAGATTAGCGCTGCGAACTGATCTTTTGAAATCAAATGCTTCCATTCTCGAAATCTATCGAGCGTCTGTTGAGTCTGAAGTTCAAGATAATGAGATTCAGTGATTGCTTTCCATGTTAATGCGGGATTATTCCACGAACCCGAGAGTCAAGCTTGATGTGGGAATCGTGGATGGTGAATTCCAGGAGCTCTCGCTGTTCATGACCAGGGAGGATGGGTGGGGTTGTTGAGTTTGTCTGTGTGCGATGACACTAATGGCAGACAGTAGTTTAGAAGTCGCTGTCGTATCATGGAGGACAGGGATGGAACCGAGCTGGCGAGCATGCGTGGGGGTCGAACCTTCGATGGCATCACCGATTCCACCTTTTTGCGGATGTGAGCTCGTGCTCGTCGTCAGCATCATCGACAACATTAATCGCTTACGACGGTAGGAAGGTCTCCTTCAGGTCCCACTGTCACCTTCCTGCAACTTTCCGTTTCCGTCCATTGCTCTCGCAAGCCGGTGGATTACAATCCTACGCCTGCCAATGTCCTCACGAGTCTCTCTCCGGCGACGACATTCTAGCAACGGGCAACTCATCTGGGGGGAGATCACGGCCAGGGAGGATAAATGGGCAGCTCCCTCTGCCTGTGGAGTACTGTAGTGCCCGATCTCCGGCCGATATTGATCCTCTTAGAACTTGTGTGATTGTGAACAAGGAACTCAGAGTTCGAAGATGAGAGCTTCCTTGATCAGATCCGCGGGGAATGCCCTGAGGAAGGGGAGCGGATCCCCCTCTTCTGCCCCCTCTGCTCGCATAATTCTAAGATACTACGCCTCCCAGCCACCCCCGGAGCGGAAGGTCGCCATTCTGGGGGCCGCCGGGGGGATCGGGCAGCCGCTCTCGCTCCTCATGAAGCTGAATCCCCTTGTGTCCCGCCTCGCCCTCTACGATATTGCCGGCACCCCTGGAGTTGCCGCCGACGTCAGCCACATTAACACGCGTGCTGAGGCGCGGTCCCTGTCGCTTCTTCCCGACTCCTGTCTTCTATCTTCTGCTTTCAACCCTGGTGCTGTTCCTCCATTGCGGGTCTGATCCCCGTCCGTAAACATTAACAGGTCTCTGGATATGCGTCAGAGGAGCAGCTAGGGCAGGCTTTGGAGGGTTCTGATGTTGTTATCATCCCGGCCGGTGTGCCGAGGAAGCCCGGCATGACCCGCGACGATCTCTTTAACATCAATGCGGGGATCGTGAAATCCCTCTGCACTGCTATCTCCAAGTATTGCCCCGATGTAAGTCCGGGAAACTTTTACGCGACCCACCCCTCCTAGATTCTCGCTCACACACTCATTGGTTGACCGTTTATGGGTGATTTCTACTGTGAGTCTTCATTTACAGCGATTTGATGGTTATCGTTTCCCTTTCCTCGATTTTTCAGGCGATTGTTAACATGATTAGCAATCCCGTGAACTCTACAGTCCCCATTGCAGCTGAAGTCTTCAAGAAGGCGGGGACGTACAACGAGAAGAAGCTCTTCGGTGTTACCACACTTGATGTTCTGAGGGCCAAGACTTTCTATGCTGCCAAAGCCGGACTTCCTGCTGCGGGTATAGTTTCTTCGTCTGACAAATTTAGTTTTGTCATCTCTTTGTTGCTCTACGTATACTATCTATTACTTAATAGTTGCTTCTGACGTGCCACTGAAACTGATTATACTCTGTTTACTGTCTGTTTATTTATACTCAGATGTCAATGTTCCTGTCATTGGAGGCCACGCTGGAATAACCATCCTTCCTCTATTTTCACAGGTACAAGTCTTGCTGTGTAAAAGCCTGTTCCAACAGGCGTGGTTCGCATTTCGCTTCATTTATTTTTACTAAGAATTTTGATAGTTAAATGTTTTTTGATCGGTAGGCAATTTCCAGCAGCGATTTTCAATCACGTCAAGAGTCTCTGTCACATGAAGACGTTAGGGCTCTTACAAAGCGAACACAGGATGGAGGCACAGAAGTGGTGGAAGCAAAGGCTGGAAAGGGCTCTGCAACACTATCCATGACGTAAGTTTCTACAGAGATTTTATTTTGATTAATTCATCCACCTGGTCTTTGATTATTTAATTAGGGATTTATGAAAGAAGTTGCACGATACCTTGCCATTTAGTTGTCTCCAATCTTAATCGTTGCTTTCTATGAACTTTTTTTTTCTGATTTTCTATTTTTCTGCTCCTTGAGATAATAGTATGCTTGTTACTTATTTGGATTAGTGAAAATATGAGACGATGTCTGTGGTTGTGTAATGTACTATACATTGAAACCTTCATCTCTTAATAGGAAGCTTCTCTTACCAGCGTCACCTTTTTGTTTGCTCTCTTCTGGGTTTTTTTCACCTTCGGATAATGTTAGTCTATTGTCAAATGGAACTAACCTTAGAAGATTTATACCAATGCATTTGTGTAGTTAATTGGTCACCTTGTCCACGGACATTTCTGATTCGTTAATAATTTTATCATTTGATACTTTTTTCTTTTGATCTATTGCCTTATTTTTCCTTGGAACTTAAATTCTGTCTTGGTTTCTGACAGTGAGTATTTCAAATAGTATTTTATCACTTTTTGGGATTAGCAGACTGATCAGATAATTTGTATGTTCCTATTTCACTTGATGTGGTTCATGGAAGGTTCTAATTTTTATTTTGACTCACTTGCAATTCGCACTTTCTTCAAGCTGACATTCCTGCTTTTTTTTTCCACTCAGTCTTCGATTCTATTCCTGGAAGTTCATCATCATCTTAATGTCTTATCATAAAATGGTAATAATTGAAATCCTGCTCCAATACTTACGACTGAAGCGGGAGTGCTTTACTTCCTGTTGGACCCTCATTTGGGCATACTGTAAGGCGTTGTTTAAATGTGGGGGATATTTCTTTCGTTTTAAGGAACTAACTCTTGAAGTTTTATGCCAGTGTTTTCCATTAATGACGTGTGATCACGTCATTGTTGAAATCTTAATCTGTTGTATAGTAATCTGATGATTAAATATGTGCAACGTTTTTTTATAATCTGTCTAAATTAGGGATAACAGTTTCTGTCCATTTATTTTTCTGGAAGTTTCACTGAAGCTTGTTCATACTATGGTGAAGCATTCACTTGATCAGTACTTTTTAAATGACAGACATCGGATAGTCTAGAGCTTCATAATAAAACGTTTTCTTGAATTTCAAGATTTTTAAACAGGACCGATGCTGATTCGTGTGTTGATGATCCTTGTGTTATGGTTTTGATCTCACACAAGGAGATGCTCTTTTATTTTATGATTATTTCTTGGTATATGATGTATGGTTTTCTGATTTGTTTATCTCAACATGTCATCGCAAAATGTAAAGTCTATATGCTGAAGTATCAGATATTATTTTTTGTTGAATAGCTTGATCAATGTCTTCTGTTTTTTGTCTCGCTTGCTTGATTGGATGGGATTAGTACTTACGTTAGTGTAGAAATGTTTCAGTTATGGTGGATCAATTTTTGCGGATGCATGTCTGAAGGGCCTTAATGGGGCGCCTGACATCGTAGAATGCTCTTTTGTGCAATCGAGTATCACCGAGCTTCCTTTCTTTGCCTCCAAGGTATATCAGTTCCTCTCTGTTTCTAAATGCGACTTCTCGATCCTAATAGCATCTGATATCCACAATTTTTTCTGTAGTCCTGTTTTTGTTATTTGATGGGCTGCCTCAATCTCTTTTATTTAAACTTTGAAGATGCGGCAATCACTGCGAAAAAATGATCACTTACAGGAGTAATGGCTTTAAAGTCCTTCAGGATGATCGGAAAATCAGCTTGGACTAGTTACCAGGACATGAACTATTTGCTTTATTGGAATCAACTTCCACCATACCCATTACCAGGACATGTCTATCTACTCGCGCTCATGTTCATGGTCCAGAGGTAGAGCGCTTTCGCTTACTCATTTCCATGAATGGCTTTCACTCTCGATGCCCCACCGTTCAACCAATAAAACCGGAGAAAATGACTGTCAATAGTATTACCAAGCAACTTTACTGTGTGATGCAATCTCCTCTTCTGATATTCAAGAGGGGAGAACTTTGACTTCAGGGTCACCACACGTGGCTGAAATTCGCTTCCTCCACCCTGCTTTGCGTGAAGGAGGCCTGCCTATTATCACGGTAAAGACGGAGGCCGCAGAAGATTTTGGCGTGTTTCTTTGAGGGGTGGTTTGGAATCCACCTACTCTTGTAGATGGGCTCCAAGTCGTCTCCAGATGACGGATTTTGATGGAATGGAGCGTGTATTAAAGTGATGGCACATTACTTCGCGATTGAGCTATCTCCATGTTTGAAACTCTCTGTTAGTTTGACCAGCTGCGGATGGTTTCTGGTCATGGTAAGCAGAAGGGGGATCTCCGGGCGATGAGAATGAAACACATCGGCCAAAAAAATTTGATACTGGGAAAACTCTTTCTTCGAATTTGTAGTCAGCTGATGACACAGTTGATCCATGCTGTGTCTTTTCTCCAAATCTGGGTCCCAATATTCTGTATAATCACTTTCAGTTTGAGAGAGCTTTTGAACATAGGCTAATAATGTTCAGTCTTGGGAGTTGCATATATAAGGCATGGTCTTGATTGTCTTGGAACCTCCTCTTCGATATTACTTCACTGAAAATTGTCTTGCTGTGATTTTTTTTTCTTAATGACGGCCTTCTCAATTGTTTTATTTTTTCTCAAATCGAAAGTTGTTATGCTTTTTATTTAGTGGGTAGTTTTCTATGCCTGTCGATTGTAATTTGCCAGAGCCCTGAAAATGGTGCTGTTTGTTTTCGCAGGTTAAGCTGGGCAGGAATGGGATTGACGAAGTTCAAGGACTGGGTACCCTGTCCGACTTTGAGAAGGAAGGCTTGGAAAATTTGAAGGCTGAGCTCAAGTCCTCCATAGAGAAGGGGATCAAATTCGCTAATGAGAGTTAAGTTTCTTCTTCGTTGGGGGTCTCAGGCTACCTGGGCATTTGCGCTACCTGAGGGCGTTGCTCGTTTTTGTTTTCGGCCAAAGCCCATTGAGTTACTGCTTGCGGAATCTTGTTTCTCCCCTCTTAACTGGGCTTAATAATTTCACATACCGTGGGTGCTGGAGTTGACTATTCACTTCATAATTAATAGAGTTACGTGAATGAGGTACGCTCAAAATGTCTGAGCGTCCGTTCTTTTAATGACATTAACCTTTCACGGAAGGTTTAGATGGCGTTCTTCTTCTCAAAGTTCCACGTCAAAGTCAAATCCGTTGGTGGAATTTAAATCTGCGCAATCACTACTACGACCGAGTCCAAACTTTGACAAGGTTTGACCTAAACGATTACATATTTTGTTTTATCGCGCTTTTCTGACGTCGTACCGAACGTTCCTACATCTTTACTTCGTCACCAGTCAACATGATGAGGGATTATCGCAAATGTTACACAACTCCCGGTTTTATGGCCCCTGTTTTGAAGTCTCGATTCACTCTTCTGAATGTGCTCCAGAATTGTGGTTTCAACTTTCCGCTAACTTCGATTTCCAAGGAAGCGTCGTCATCTTCAGATATTATGCGAGGAGAGCTGGATCAAATCTGGAAGATTAAAAATAGTTGGAGTGATTAATACGAGTATTGTCATCATGAATATCAAGTAATGTTGGGGCAGAGCTGTCTCACTTCAACTACCCTTGTGCACATTCTGAACAACAGGCAGAGCAGCAAATACTAACTCATCATCATTAAATCATTCCGTTGTAAAGATCGATCACCCATGACTGTTTCAAAAGGGATTTAGATCGTAACAGGTTTACCCCAAAACCAACCACTGTTATTGATTCCCTTTATTGACCATTAAATACGTTTATGAAATGAAATTGCTCTTTATCAAATTGTATCCGCATTACACGCACACCTTTTACCGTGAAAGGAAAAGTAATCGGATGAACTATTGTGCAACCTATTCAAGGTGGCTAGAACCTTGATCTTTTTCCTGGCATCAAAAACATGGAATGAAGCCAGAATTTACAATCTGATACAGTAGTTATATGTTCCGTTATTTAAGATAAGTGGAAACCAAAAGCTTCTGTTTCACCCGAACTGTTGGACGCCGTCGCTCTACGCCTTTGGGCGCCAAGGTGGGAGGTCTGCAAGCTGCTTGATCAAAGTTCCGGCAAGGATGCGGTGTGCCGCGTCCGTCATGTGGACGCCATCCCAACTCACAAACGTGGAAGGATCTCCGTGGACCTCGGACCCAGGTTTGCCGCACCACGCCGACCAGTTGAAATTGTACCGGCCACCGCCCCCACAGCAGCTCCTCAGAGCGCCGTTGGAGAAGCCTATGCATTAGGGAAAGCACAGGACAGTGCTCATATTATAGTCGAGACATTTGAGAAACCCCAGTGATGACGGGTGATGGAGATGTTGGAGAACGAGTCATGAGGGGAGTACCGATGTACCTACCAAAACGTTGGGGGAAGTTTGCAAAGGCAAGGGTAGGTCCATAGTAATCGGCGTAGGTTATCCTCACTTCTGGGTACTTCTTCTGAAGCCGAGATAGCGCACGCCTTAGAAGCGCGTTGTGAAACTCGGAGAAATCGTTGATCGCTTTCAGGCATTGATTCCTAGGATCATAGTCTGTCTTGTCGGCACTGGCTCCTGATGTCAAGCAAACCGGCATGCAGCCTATGGCGGTGCTCCCTGGAACCAGCAGCTCCACCGCACCGTGTTCGATTAATCTCTGGTAAAGAGGAAGAACACTTGAGGAATCAGCTGCACGATTTGATCGCTGCACTAAAGGAATGAGTTGACTCGGGTTTCCCGACCTCGGTGGCGGATGAGATGGCTTCTACGACTGACGGTATGCGGGGCAATAATTTGTTTATCTCTACGTTGTCGAGGAATTCATTTCCGTAGTCATTGATACCGAACTCCCCGACGAGAAAGAGCGTTCTGTCGAAATATGTTCTGCAGTCTACCGAAGAGTAGAGACAGAGGAGACAAATCTTTTAAGGGGGAATGAAAAAAACCGTATTTTATTTGATGCATGAGAAAAGAATAATATATGCGATGTAAACATAGGGCACCTTTTAGGGAGTGGCACAGAGAAGGCTTCAATTCTTCGAACCACTTGAGCTGAACGCTCAGAGAGTAGTTAAGGTAGCCCTGCTTTATGCCTTCGCCAGGGATCAAGGGGGCGTCAAGCGCCGTGGCTCCCCCGACTGCAAAATTCACTCCATGACGAAAGTCCTGGCTACGTCCTCCCAAGTATGGTGGAGGTGGCGGTAGTCCGAAAGCATGTGCTGTAGCAACAGAAGCAGACGTAGTGTCCAGCGTTAGCTCCAGTAAAAAGAAGACAGCGGGCTGGATGGACATCTGTGATCATGGTTTTCTACGGTGGCTAGACACGGAAAAGGGTGTACCGATGAAATCCACAACAAGGCGGCCGTCGGATTGCCGGCCCGTCGGACGTCCGAAGTATGTTCTTCCGTAGGGTAGCTTGCCAAAGACTTGGTTGAGCTCTGGCTCGGCGATCAAAGCGTTTCCTGTGTCTGTCATCGAATCCCCGAAGCTGATGATGGAAGTATAGCGTGGCCTCGCCGAGTCGGCCATTGTGAAGACGGAGAAGACGAGTAGATAGACTAGGAAGTCTAAGCTGAAGTGGGGAATAAGGGCGTAAGGCGTAGCCATGATAGAAAAGTTTGAGGGATGTGAGCTTACGGTGCGAGTATGTGAGAGGACATGCCTTCATATTTATTTGGTTTGGCTGCTTCAGCGAGGGTTTCGGTTGATCTTATCCATTAGAATCTTCGCAGATTGAGATATCCACTGCATTTTAAAAACTGTTCGCCGCACACTTTTTCTGAAATGAGGCACCGTTGTCACAAAAATCTATCAGGGGGAACGGTAGTCAGGGTGCGCCGCAGGATTTTTCTGGGATTCAAAAAACAAAGAAAAGAGAAACTATTCTAGAAAGTATAAACATATATATATATCCCACACAATTCCAAATAGTAAATTTGATTTAAGGGGACTGACCACAAATTCTATCTCGCTTCTATCTGTTGGGAACAGCAGAACTTTGATGCTTTCTGTCTACTCATCGTCGATAAGGTTTCAGTTTGATGGACGTTTAATGTCGCAGTTAACTTGATTTGGACGGCGAAATAACTTAACGTAATAAGACCTGAAAGTTATTCTTTAATTGTAGAAACCTATTTTAAATCGGTTACGTGATAAAGTTTAAAAGTTGACCTACACAAAAGGGAACACGTTCATGATAGCAAAAAGAGCACCCAACGAAACCGCACATAATTGATTGGTTTTGAATCAGGGGCCCGCTAAGATTATTGAATGCATGAAATAGTACCCTAATTAAATAGTCACTGAGAGACGGGGTAGAGGATGGTACTCTGGCAACGCAACTAGTGAAATTCGATGACCTGTGCTTTAAAGAAGTCAGTTGCAATGCAATAACCTTAGTGAACTTCAAATAGCACAATGCTTGAAGCTTGAGTTTCCAGGCAAGAGGTAGCCACGCAGTGAATGAGTTAAGCAGGGAACTATGGTCTGAAGGGTGATCAGAAAGGTGAACTAGATTCTTCTTGCGTCATCACCCTCTAAACTTTCAACTTTAAGTGTTTGACGTGACTCTGGCTCCATAACCAATGGTGAGGACAATGAAGGTCTAGAGGCAAGCGCAAAGCGTCCAGATGTCCGATAGATTCACTTCGATGGGAAGGGGGCAACAAAAGAGCGGAAAAGCAGTGATAAGGTGCAACAAGCGATGACTATTATAGCCGTGAAAGCATTCTCTCCATACATCAGTTTCGCAGCGTAGATCAGTCGTGCAAGAGAAGAGACTCAAGAGCTGCAGTGGTTTTCATAGTTCATATTGTCGACTCGTCGTTGTCGATGTTGCTCAGCTACTCCTCTTGTTTGCCCCTCTCTAGGTCATGTGTAACCTCATCAGTTATCGTTGTCTCTCATCTCTCCGTTGTCTTCTTCATCGTAAATTTGGATATCACATGAAAGGCTGGAGGACGACTTTTCAGCTTCTGCTAGACCGTCGAAGATGTTTTCATGTGTCCGTGGCTGCCATAGCGAATGGCGGGGAGTTAGTCTCCAGGATTGAATCCTGTGCAGGCCGGGGGAACCTCTGTAAAACATACCATGTGAACACCTGAAAACTTCACCAAGCCCTTAATCGGGGTTTCCGTTGAAATTGTACATTGAAGAACGCTCAATGACAGGGAAGAGAAAAAAAAGATCTGCGGTGTGGAGGGGTGGGGGGGAAGTGGAGAGAGAGAGAGGTGGGGAGAATGTAATGGAGCCGATGAAACGATAGTGCGAAGGTACGCTGAATGAGGAAGATGTGAGTGTACTCGATACAGTACCAACGGTAAGAGAACCTGCATCCATTGAGAATTTTATGCCAGAATGAATCTGCTTCTTAGAGGACGATGGTACCAAGCTAGAAACGGGGGAAATGTGTGGAAGAAGAAGAAAGCATTGGAAAGAAATCTTAGGAAGGTCGATTGTTGCGTGCCGCGCGGAGGAATACGCGGACGTGGAATGAGATTAGGCATTCTCTTGGTTACGAGGTATAAAAACATCATTAGGGTTATTGTCATCCAACGTAAAGTAATTTACTATGCTAAATTTATTTTGTTTTAAACTACAAAATTTCATACTAAACGTTGGGCATGCATATCTATATATATCTGAATAAAAACATATTCACAATGAGTGCAGTAGGCCCAATTTACGCCCCGTCCCTCGCCTTCGCCGGCAGCCATGAGCTTTGTATCTCATAACGGTGGGTACAATCCTGTCTGGTCCAGGGAACCGGACTGTCCCTGTCCATGACCCCGTAGAGCCAACAAAGAATTTATGATAGCTGTAAGTCCGCATGATAAAAATATTTATATTTATATCCTTAGAAACGAAATATGTATACTTAGTATCTTTTCATTTTCATTCATTTTGTTTTTATTTCAAGTACTGCCGACCCGCACCCTGACTCACGTCCACAGTGAGACGCAGCCTCCGCATCGGACAACACTGGATTGTTTTCAGTGTTCAACGGGCACTCGCAGTTTTCTACTCTCAAGCGGCTTCGTATCTTAACCAGGTGCCCCGCTGGGCGTGGAATTTCCAATGTGCTACGACATCGTGGATGTAAGATCGATGGCAGTCCTTGATGAAGCGCTTGACGAACTAATAAATGTGAAGACCCACTCACTCACTAAGCTCAGGACCAAGAGTTCTCTCACACTGCTCCGCTGCCCTTCTTTTTCATTCTTAAAGTTCGGTTTACCGTTAAAACTTCGGATGGCGGACCTAGCCCGCGCTTTTTCGACCTGATCTAATGGTGAAACACTAAATGTGCTTCGGTTGATATAGTTCATGCTTTCGGACTACTGACACCTCTACCATACATGGAAGACGTAGATATGAATTTCGTCACATCGTTAATTTCACAGTTGGGGGAGCCATGGCGACTGACGAGGCCTTTTTCCATGAGTTAGGCATTGCGGTAATTACGAAGTATTCTCTGAGCGCTCCGGTAAAATTGTTCGAAAAGTTGAGGTCTCCTATGCGCCACTCTCCCAAAGATTCAACATGATTTAGACGAGCCTTAGCGGTTGCAGCAAATGGAAGATAATTCTTCCATACCCACGTAAATATGATTTCTACGCTGCGCGTCCATGTTCTTGTGTAGATTGCAGAAGATACTACGCCAGAGCGTTCTTTCCCCTAGGGGCAATCAGTGGAAGTGACTACACCAACCATTCTTATCAGAGACGTGCAGATGCCAAGTGAGATCCTACGTGCCGTCAGTGGTAGAAACCATCTCATCCACAACAGAGTTACGGAAAGACGAGTCGAGTCGTTCATCTAGCCCATCACCTGAAACATCTCTTTACCATAGATTACCACAGATTAGTCAAACTTGCCGGGGGGGGGACTGCTACTGTCAGGAAACCTCGCCATCGTTTGCATGCCGATTTTGTTGACATCAGGGGCCAGCCTCAACCAGAGAACTATGATCCCAGGAACAAGTGCCGGAAGGTGTTCTACGATTTCTCAGAGCTCCACAACTCGCTGCTAAAGCTGCACAGGAAAAATACCCAAGAGCGAGGATAATCTTTGACGATTACTACTGATCTAGCCTTTCCTTTACAAACTTGCGGCAATTTTTTTCTACGGCTATTTATTTATTTATGAAAAGGGTCTGTCATGTGGATCGAATTTGGGAAAAACCTGTGACGATCTTAATAGTTAGTTTTTTGAACTGTTAGTGTGAGAGATTTTGGTATGGCGCCTCGCAATCATAGAGCTTAGAATCAAAGTTAATTAATCATTAACGAGCATACTATAAATTAAAATAAAAGATTAATTAGATGTTTGGTTTGAATGACAGAAGAGCATTATTATACTGGAAAAAATAGTAACAGAATTCTCTTGGCAGAAAGAAAATATTATCGGAGTATCCTTAGCAAGTAATAAAACGTTAACTTAGAGAGTAAGTAGTAAGAGCTGTACAATTGATTTGGATCGAACAGGTGAATTGAACAGACAAGAGGCGTCTCCCTAAGTGAAATGTTTTATACGAAACTATAACCAAAAAAACCACGTCCTTTTGTGTCTCTTAGATTGAGAAATATACCTACTTTTAAAATGATTTCTACGGAGCGGCGCATTTTGATGTCGACTACAGCGTGTCATATTACCCGCGGCTACGAGGTCTGCCTTTGATGTGATCTAAATTGGCCATTCCAAGTGCGGCTTAGATATTTCGTCCCCAACTAGCGACCGACTCCAAAAGCAACGCACGGTGGGGACGACTTGATATATTCCCGCCAGAGGTACATTCCTGGGGTAAAATCTCCTCTACTTAGGGCGACGAATTTGCCAACAGAGTTTCACTAGAAATCACCCTAATGACGGACTCCATCCATTAATTCTGCCGACTCTCCCGTTGCCATCACAAGTCAGCCCTCTCCCCAACCTCCTTACCCGCCTTTCCAACCATTCTGCCGCTGTGCCACGGCCATCCAACTTTCCATAGGGCCTACGTCCAGGGCGAGGGCCAACATCGATATATCTAGGGTTCCTTGGGATGAGGCGAAGCCTTAGCAAAGTCTTCCCTCCTTTGGATGATTTTTTTGCACGGCAAACACATTAGGGGAGAATATACCTACGGAACCTTACATCTCATAAAAGTCCGCTACCAACAAAGAACATTTTTTCCTCGTACTACCCCGCGGATTTTTAGGATGCCTAACTAGGCGAATAAAAAATTCCACTAGGACCTTAACAATTTCAAATTTAGCCATGATTAGTTATTTTTCTCTAAAACACTGTATAATTGCGAAGTCCGATATCTATAAAAACATAACCAGTCATCAAATTTAGAAAATTGGAAATTTTGATGATCTCAAAGAATTTGGGAATCCTCACTTCGGATCCTAATTGAAGCTTTGCTCTGATTAATTAATGGACAAGGAACACGTAGAAATTTGTACCTCACAGTAGATGTTACTAATTTAATTCTAATATATGTCGTTTCTCCTTTACAAGAGAAGGATTGATAAAGTTATTCTGCTTCCTAACTCAAAATACATGTGAAATAACAAAGGTTAATTTGGTAATTTTTTTAAAAAAACTGATGTACTGATGGCAAG